TGGGCCAGAGTTAGAATTGAACGCTTACGCAGCTCTTGCATTCAATTCCTGCTTCGCATCGCACTAACGTATCAAGTGTAGAAGTCTCGAATCATCTGCTGAGAAGAACCTTCAACTACTTCCTTCATCAGTGAAGAGAGGGCCACCATTAGTATCGCACATATGCAATCTTTCAGATGATAGTGACCCGAGTGGCCAGAGATAAAGATATAGGCACTCCAAGTTCGGGACCCCATTGTAAATGTTCCAAGGTCAGGATTTTTACCCCACATGCATCGTCATCAGTCTCTTCACTGCCTCGCTGCTTTCCAACCGGGCCTAGTTAGCCTCGTGAATAGTGCTGGGACCAATGCCATCGGAGAAAATCATTTTGAAAAAATGGCAGATGAAAGTTGCACACACACTTTCAGCGTTGAGCCCATTTCACATGGCACGATTCTGCTTGTGGTTTTCATTCTCGCGTGGCGAAAAGCCCGTGAATGCATCACGCGTGCACACAAGACACCCTCCACGCTTGGCATGTCCGTCCAAGCTTTAACAAGCATATGAATCGCCGCCAACAGAGTGACTTCATAGCGCTTACCCTGGTCCAGACAAAGCAATATTCTTGCCATGAGATGCTTGCGGTACAAGCCTTTCAGGTGTTTGATTATTCCTTGATCCATTGGTTGCAAGAGTGAGGTGGTTGCAGGTAGAAGGAAAATCAGGCGGATCATAGACAGCTCCGGCATCTTTGTGTGCGCACTGCAGTTGTCCGCTACTAACACGACCTTGCGCCCCTTGGACGCGAACTGGCGGTTCAATTTTTGAAGCCAATCTTGAAAGATCTCACGTGTCATCCACGCTTTTTTGTTGAAACAGTAGTCCGTTGGAAGCCGCGGGATGTTCCGAAAGCATCGTGGCGTCTTGGATTTCCCGATCACCAAAAGAGGCAGACGTTCCGTGCCTGTCATGTTGGCTGCCACGAGCATGGTCACCCGCTCTTTACTGCGTTTTCCCCCAGTGCAAGGATCCCCTTTGAACGTTATCGTTTTGTCGGGGAGAGCTTTGAAAAACAACGCCGTTTCATCGCAATTGAATATGTCCTCGGGCGCATACTCCGCAAGAATACGTGCGAGCTCTGACGTCTTCCAGTTTTCACACAAATGTTCATCCACATCGGCTCTTTCACCACACATGTGCTTAAAAATAAGAGAGTGCCTCTCCCTGAATCTTGCGAGCCATCCCTCAGAAACACGGAATCCCTCGATGCCCAAACGTTCGCTGAACTGTTGAGCCTTTGCGCGAATCATGTCTCCAGCCATCGGAAGGTTGTGCGTTCTTACTTCTGTCACCCATTTGTAAACGGCTTCTCCGAGTTCTGGATGGGCTGCACTACGAAGGTGTTTTCTTGAATTCACAAATTGCTCTTCTTCAAAAGCTTTCACGATTGCTGCTTTATTCCTAATGTAGGTAGCAAGCGTGCTTTTCTTGAGGTCATACTTTTCGGCAATTTCTTTTCTGGACAATTTTCCCTCCCTAACTTCGTTGAGTATGTGAACTTTTGTTTTTAAATCATTCGAAGAGTACTTTCCTCGCTTTTCTTTCGACATTTTCCGGTATGAGCGTTAAACGCCGCGCACTCCAAAGAACAGAAACCAGAAACCACGTGACAGCACGGTCCATCTTCATCGCTCGCTCGCTCATTTTTCTCCAGTCTCCTTCTCCATCCTCCCGACGTTCTTTCTCACTTCATCGCTCACTCATTTCCCTCTCGTTGCTCCCGTCTCCTTCCGCGCGCCTCCCCACGTGATCGGGCCGGTGCGCTCTGACTGGGTCTTTTCTCGACTAATCAAATCGGCCCTTTCTCCGGTGCGAGGCGCCGGCGAAAGGACGCCTGTCTGCGCGGGCGCTCTTTCGCGGAGCGCGCCCCGGCTCGAGGCGCCGACGGGCATCGCGCGTCTGTGGAGGTGTTGCAATCAGGCGCGGGCTCGCTGCAACGGCTGTTTGCCAATATGGGTAGGACGCGTGTTGTGTTCTGAGGCGCCGTTTTAACCTTTAAACATATAGTGTTAGCTTAAAAAATATTTCCCGGTTACGAAGATGCTGGCTCCCGGGACGAATTATCGGGTTGGGGATATTTATCAGATCGAAATACCGGGGTTTTCTCCCTATTGAAGCCTGTAAAATTCCGACGGTGCTAAACGGAAGGATCGAATTAACGCGATGATCGAAATAACGGGAGTCGAATTAACGAGCTTCGACTGTATTCATCGTAAAATACTTTTTGCTCTTATCCCTTGGCTGGCATCAAACCAGCAACATCTCGTACAGTAGTCAGACGCGGTACCCCTCTGCCGCCACATCCGTAAATCGTGTGTGTCTTTAATGCATCGGGGCTTGGGCTTTCAAGTTGTCTTAAGGATAACATAAGAGACCCTGTGTTTTTTGGTTTCTCTCGATCGAGTGACGTTGCAAACGGAAAGTCCCTAATATTGCGAGCCGGACTGCACTACATGAAACGGCTTTACCCTGCGGAGTAGCTGGAAGTGTCCTTGCGCACTTTCTTCTTGCTCCGCACTTCCGTCTTTGCTCTGTGTTGACGGTTAATGGCACAGAAGAATTACCGTCAGAAGCAGCGACGCAATGAGGCATGCCGCCGATGCTGCGTCCGATGATCACCACAAGAAGAAGCATGCATGAACTGCTTCCGTGCATCCAACGCGGCGCCGTCTTGTACTTCATTTCCCGTTTTGTGTGCCGTCACGAAACATGCAGAGTATGCAAAACTACCAAGTGTTGCAAACGATCGTAAAGATGAAGCAAAGCGGTGTTGACAAAGCGCAGGAGCGAGCAAGCAGCCGTAGCAGACGACGCGAGCCCGCAGAGGAGCGGTAGCCATGGCAATGGAGGGAGAACGTGCGTCTTGGCCAATGGTAGTCACGCGCTCTCTCGAGCGCACGCTTTGACCAATCGCAACTTCACAACCGCGAGGCGGAAAAATGCAGATTGCGTCGAAACAATGCGACGAATACCACTTTGAAGGGCGGCAAAACGAAGAGAAAAAGAACTCTGCTTCAAAACAAGGTTAAGGGAGGACACTGCCCAGAAAAAAATATTCTGCAAAAAAACATTGATTTTGAAAAATTACATATTTACATCCATTTCTGAAAATACTCTAGAGAGTATTCCCAGAAATTTTCACTAGTTTACACTGCATAGTTAATTTTTTATAAAGTATTTTCTGTCCACCGCAGCTAAAGAAAAGGTAGGGTTTGGAGCACTTTGAACACATTTTTCTCAGTTCCACTTTTTGGTATAAATTCCCTTTTAGTCGCTCTATCATTTGATAATGGCAAGACTCAGGGAAGGTTCACTCTTCCCTTTTCCTGACTGAAATTTAATAAGGAATGCAGCTATGGAATGTTTTTGTCACTTTACAGATGTCTTCTATAAAAAAATGTTGACATTTCGTCGAAGGCACAGAAGACCAAAAAGTTGACCAATTTTGCAGAAGAGAAAATTGATAGAAATAAAGGACTTTTTACAAAAAGCTTTCCATAGCCGCACCTCCTAGGCATTCTGCTACATATCTAGCGAATAAAAATCATGAATATCGTGATATTTTTCCGACGATAGATTAACTGAACTATGTAGGCGTGTTGCTGATAAAAGCTGCCCTAATTTCCTTCCCACTTAACCGAGAGGCATGAAATTTTGTTATGTACCCTCTAGCATGACCACCAGCCTACCCTGTAAATTTCATTAATGTTAAGCCAAGGTTTTAAAAGTTGACCCTCCTAGGGGGTGTGTCCCCTTAAAACGGTGGCCGTCTATCAAGTTGGGTGGGAGCGACAAATGCTCAAAACCCAGCTCTATTTTCCGGCTCTAGCAAGATTTGGAAGCCGCTGAGACCTCGAATATTTTCTTTTGAACATATTTTCTTCGTGAATTAGGTGCTGTTAATTACGGAGGAGGTAGCTTACAAAATATGCAACCCAAAAAATTAGGTTTCCAATAATCGACTTGTTAGCAATTTTTCAGTTTTGAAAGCCCCCCCCCTCCCCCTCTTCCCTGGGGTAGAACTTATGAAATGTATTTGGGAGCAGCCTTGGGAGCAGCTAAAGCTACATTCTAGAGCAGGTTAGGAGCAGCTCAAATCAGTTTTCATGGCACTTCAGCTTGTGTCTTAGATAAGCACAGAAGCAATTTCAATTGTGCACACTGATGAGCATGAGGGACCTGATGGGATAACATTGTAACAGATGCCAAAACTTGAAACATTGTGAGCCTTTAATGAGAACCAAAATGCATTATAACTTACTTTTGTCTACATTATTGAGTACTCAGTACATCCATGTTCCCAAAGATAGAGTCCCTGATATTTTCTCAGTGGTTTTCAGCTGCTCAAAATGCTAACCAGCAACGCTCATTGCGCAACCCACACGTGTTCGACATAACTGCATGTGTGAACCACGTGACGTGTGCAAGCGACGGATGTGCAGTTGCACGGAGGAACGGGGCAAAGTATCACAAATTTCGAGTTTATTCTATTGCGCAAGCCAATATGGAAGTTACCACTTCGCAGCAATAAGCAGAAGTGAGGCTTAAAATGCATTGAGCAGGTCTACCGCTTGCGTGAGAGCTGCTGGCCGGCAAGGTTTCAGATCAGACCTTAAAGAGACTTCAAACGGAGCTAATGCGACGGTAATTGGTCAATACTCTGCCGGCACCGCGCTTCAGTTCTATCAAATCACGATTTATCTATGGGAACACGATTTCAACTTCTAACAATGGAGTACTTAAAAGGAGCCTTTGCTCATTTGTTTTCAAGGATCCCAGGCTGCAGAGCCACAGCCAATGGAGGAAGGACTTGAACCCACTTAAACAACTCGGCGGAAGTGGTGTGTTGTACCAAGTGTCCACGAAACGTACGCACTATGTTTCTCATACACTTTTGAGCGCACCACATGCATCCCTTTCCCGACAAGGCAGAGTGCACTACAGCAGACACTACCCACCTTTTGGAACTGTCTTACATAGACTCTGACAATGTAATGAAGGAGGGTCAGGGAGTTGTCCTGCAAAGAGACCACAAAGAACATTCCTCGGTCAACATTACCGACAGTGTTTTTGTTCGAGGGCTAACGAGCGCAATTCGCAATTGCTTTTGTAAGCTCACTTCTTTCTTCAATGTCATTACCTCGAGGGAAATTAAATTAACGAATAAAAGCGAAATCTGCTACGAGGTAAAGCATCGCGAGCGAGCAATAAATAGTGAGTTGGTCGGAACTACTAACATCAGAAATCCCGAGGGGAAAAATGGTTTCAAGTATCGATAGTGAGCCGTTTTCTCCTCTCTCGTCTCACGCATTTCAAGATTCAGATAAGAAAAATTCTATAAATTATACGACTAATTATTGCCACAAAATGTAAAAATACCCCAAACCAAGTTAGATGTGTCAAGAAATAACCAATAACTAGTGTCGCACAAATATTTGAATTTTCAAGTGGTAGTTTCGAATAATATGCTACTCGATATTCGCTTTGATGTGAACTGCGGCATTCATATGTCTTTAAGCTAATACAAAAGAGCCACGAAACCCCACAATTTCTCATACATAGCTATTCTGTATACGACGATTTGATCAATACATTGATATACAGCTGCCAATTTTTTTTAATGTCAAATATTCAATTTGCGATATTAACGAACAAAAAAAATTACTGTGAACAGTTTTGAACTGGTTAGCATTATATTTTTTTACGGTTCAGTTCCCATTCAGTTTCAAAATGGCGGCGAAGATTTTGGTTTGCTTTAGTTCCGGTTCGCCTAAAAATGACTGTTCAGTTCCGGTTTTAAGTTTGGTTTCGTTCCGGTTTGACACTCCGGTTAGAAATAACGAGCCTTACTGCACTACAAAAACGGTGACCTTTTTGACGGCAAACTTTCGCAAGGGGTATTTAGCAGAGTGGATGACCGGCAAGATGGCACGTGACAGTGCGCAGCAGGTTGGAATGGGAGTGTGCAACACCCATAGGGGGCGCCACTCTGCCTCGGCAGATGGTTAACACCCACACCAGTGAAAGCTTCCACGCTACACCGCATAGTGAAGTGCTGGCCGCCATGACCTATTCCAACACACCCACAGGGTCTTCGCCCCGTCTGCCCTTCCCGCAGCCACGTTTCTCCATCTAGCTCTGAAGTAAAGGCAGCTTGACATTCAAAACCTGCTTCCAGCGTTGCCCTGGACGTGTTCTCCATCACTCGACCTGCAGACGTTGCTCCGAGCATGAATTGAATCGTGTCTCGCAGTTGTAAGCGACAATGGCAAAGCGTACCGTTGCGTTTTTAATTTATCTGCGCCGCAAGATGCCGCTACTAAGCGTTTGTGTGTTCCATGCTTCCAAGTCGGTTACAGTCGCCAACCATTTTTTCAGACTCCGATAATTCGGACTTGTTCTATATTTCGGACCTAAAGGTGGAATTGTGACTTACCCCATAGAAATAGTGTATATTCACGACCAATGTTTCGGACAGCTTGAAGTCCGAAAGTTCCGATTATTCGGACAAAATCGTCGCGAGCGATCAGCGGAAAACACCATCGAGAAGCGGCCATTTTGAATTCTACGTTGGCTGCCAATGGATTGGCTTGGTTTGGCAGCGCTACTTGAGCACTCCTGAGTCCTACCGCTAGGTGACGCTATGCTAGCCCTTTTTTTCCCATTTAGCTGCACGTCATCATCATCATCATTATTATCATTTTGCTTTGTTTTTCGTTCCTTCGCGTCGCCAGTGGCCATTTTGCGCTCATGTATTTGTGCCTCTGATCTCGTTCGGACAACGCTGGCTTGGGCGTCACGGCCCCATCTGTTCTTCTGCTACTCGACCATAACGCTAGAAAAGAAGGCAGCAATTCTCAAGCTAACAGAAAGCTGTCGAACGGAAACGGAGGCATAACCTAAAACAAGGCACGCAGGCGTAACCTGAACCAAGGCACTATTTACGGCTTTTTTAAGCCCACTTGGAAGTAATAAAGGCAAGTTTTTCAATCTGCTGATTTTTCGGACTGCTCTATCATTTGGACGTTTTTTCGGTCCCAGCGAAGTCCGAATAATCGGTCGGCGACTGTATAATGAAATAGCGACTACAGCGAAACGATCCCGATTTCCCATTCCCTTTGGCACTTTGTTATAACCGAAGTCGGTTATAACAAAGTGAGCACGAGTAATCGATAAAATCGACGAGCATTTTTTGCTTCTTTTCTTACACGAGACTGCTCTTCGCTCGCCGGCGGATCGAGTAAAAAGCTGGGGTTGAAATGATTAAGGTGGTTTTCACTGGTGCATGGAGGAGTCTGGGTTCTCAATTTCCGGATCTCGCGTTAAAAATGCATTTACTGTGCCCCTTAACTCTGTAGCGCCATGCTCGGGTAAACTGACATCTATCAGAAATGAAGGTTGGCTGCTACGCAGGTTGTTTATGCCAGCCGTGTTCAATACGAAACGGCTGGGAGCTGCGCCATGGCGTCAATGTCTCGTCGCACGCTTCCAATATGCCCCGTTCTGTTCTTTAGGTGACGACGAGTATAGCAGACGATGCGAGATGCGAGGCTAGACAAACCGAATGTCGTGACAGGGATATATTAGACTCGCATAATGGCTAAGCAGCCAAGCCAATCCAGTACTAATGGGCAGGGCCCACAGTGGGGCGCGGATGAAGCGTAATGCTGCCTAAATTGCGTTTAATGCCATAAATATTGCGCCAAAAACATTTTTCTTTGGCGAAAATCTTTTGTGTGGCTTGCGTGTTTTATCTTTAAAAAATATATGTTCCGCGAGTTCTTTTAATGAACCGTGCAAGATGTAGAATGGTAGAGGTGATGCCCTTCACTTAAAGGGGCCCTGCAATCATATTTAAGCGTCAACCTTTTTTGCGGTTTCCACGTCTCTTGGGATTCGGGCAAGCCAGCGGGCACGGAGAGAGTAACTAAATATCAGTGCGTCATATTTTAACCGGACTGCGCGGAAACCTCCTCCACCGACGAGGGCGACCCGCGGTACCGAAAGCGCGCAAAATGTGATGTCTTTGGTCCTAGGCTTACTACTGGTCAGAGCCGCTAAAAGTTTTTTCGTAGTCAAAATACAAAATATAAGTGGCGCAAACCATTTCAATTATTTATAAAAGAAGCTTTTGTTCAGTATTTTAGATCAGAAAAGAAACAAATACAGTTTATAAAGTACGGAAACAAGAAAAGACCCGTCGACATACCCGCCACCAAGCGGCGGAAAAAACGGCGCACACTAGAAAGAACTAGTGGGATGAGGCTACGACAAAGGGCCAGCGCAGAAAAGTCCCGGATGTACGCGGCGGCGCTGCGGTCGTATACCGGCTCGACGATCCGACCGGTTCCGAGTGTTCCCAAGGCCTTCGGCGCGGGCCCTGCTGGCGATCTGGCCATTTGGCGGCATGGCAGCGCGAAGTGGCTCCCGTTCTGGACTGATCTTTACCCCGTGTTTGCCGTCGTTTGTGGCCAGTGAAGTGCTATGCCGAAATAGTCTTTAATCGCACAGCAAATGCAATGCGAGCCGCCCCGGCCGCCCGCTTCATAGAGCCTATCCAACACATGCTTTAGTGGTGCCCTCTCGAGCCGTCAACCCGGAGTGCGGCAACCGTGAACGCTCGATGAGCTCACTACCCCTCCTCTCGTTCACGGCCACTCAAGCCAGGACCTAAGACGTCATGAAGGAGGTTATTTTGTGCTTGTTTTTGTAATTCTAATTCGCCTATAACTTTTCAAATAAAGCGAAATTAGAGAAAAGAAAAGTTTCATTAAGTTACTACGTTCAGTGCGCTCAGGTTCGGTGCAAATTAAAACCAGGCAAAAAGTCATTGCAGGGCCCCTTTAAGGCGGTTCCAAGACGAGTCTAGATCCGCCAGAAGTAGCCTTCGGATCCACGGACTGACTTTCCCTCGTAACACGGCAGCCTCCAGTAGGAGCAGCGGCCAACAAATTATGTTTGTCTGGCTCTCACTTGCACATATATCAGGATAACAATCCACACAGGCAAACCTATAGTGGCAGTTTCCCCCCAGTGACCATAAAAAAGTCTCATTTGTACAAAAACGTGGCTCTTAACAGGAAGGTGCAACTTTTACAAGCGTGCGACATAAAGACTGTAAATAAAGAGGTCACCTTGCTCTTGACGTCCCTGAGCCTGGCCAAGATCTCCAGGCCAAATCCGTCAGCCTGCCCACGACTCCTATTGCCTGCAGGACAAGGGAAGACAGCACATTGGTCCAACAAGCATGCTTCGGAACCTGATGAGGCTCTTCAATTCCAAAACAAAATTGTACAAGTTTTAATGTAGGCCCTTTAAAAATTATGTGCCTTAAGTTTCATTTTACTCTGATTAGTAGAGCAATGTACTCGGCATAGCCCGTTGCAGCACAACGAGTGTGGGACAGCTGAGAAAATGCATCTAATTAATGCATCCTCACTAAATTGCATCACGATGCTTCGCACAAATAAGTTTGTTGTCCATTGAAGGCCAACACACCCCCGAGGCCCTTCGCAGTTTTCATCCCCGAAAGTGACTCCACCTTGGAAAGACTGTACTCGAGAAATGCTCGAGAAGCCCTCAAAATGAATGTGCTGGTTTTTTTATGGTACAGGGCCAAGGTTTAGAACAAGAGCGCCAATGGCAAGTGAGCAAAGCAAACAATCAAACACTCTCAAGAAGGTACAGTCAAGGCATAAAAAAACTGATGGTTTTGTTTCCTGACTGGATCTAACAAAAAAATTGATATAAATTGGTTTTTTTTTTGCAATAAGTGAACCGTATCCTAAAGCTTTACATTTTTACCTCACTATGTCGAAAGCAATTAGCAGCGAATTTGAGGCAATTATTGTGCCATTTATTTAACTTTCACATCTGCGATAATTGCGTGTATGGGCCGCACTTGTGTAGGGGCCCCATATTTACATAAAAATATAAAAAGACTTATCCCCTGCCCCTTCTTTTTCCGACCGCTTCCGCAGCGTGGCGCACGCTTCGCTTCTATGCCGTATTTACCCCCCCCCCCCATCATGCATCCCTGCTCGGACCCTTTGCCGTGTTTTGAAGCACAGATAAGATTATGGGAGTAAGGCTTTGAAAAGCCGCCTTTTTTGTGGTTTTTAGTATCGTCCACGGCCACCCTCCGCCCAAGTAACCATAGAGAGTTTTAGAATAGGGGGCCCCCAAAGCTAACAGGGTCACACCGCTGCGCCGAACCCACGCTGTGTTTTGGGTTGGCGCTTGCCCTTAACGCAGAACTCGAGAAGTATAGCTCGGGGTTGGGTTGCGTCAGCAAACATGTCGCGCACTTTCCTCTTGCCTCAGAGCCGTGATAGTAGCTGCCATGTTAGCCACGTTCGTTGCCAGTGAATGGTGCAGCCGGCTTTCTCTTTGCTTTATCTCACTCAAGTCGCAAAGAATGAGCGGTGGGCTCACCCCATATTAAAGATCGTCCCCGATTCTGGCCGTTCCTAAGCCTAAAGAGATGTGGTAACCGTTGGCATGGCAACATATTGCTACTCTGTGGCTCTGAGTGAATTTCGTTGTGGCACAGTACCTGCGCCTTAAGAACGAGTCTTTTAAGGCACCCGAGTCGCTCCGGCTCAGATCTATAAAGAGCAGCTGTTTACAGAGTATGGTTGCTCGCATATCTCTCAGTTTTGACATAGTTGAAAACCCAAATCTTTGGCGACAGATGGTCAACGTGGCAGACGAATGCGAAAAACAATTGAAGAATGAGCGCCAAATTATAGTGTTACGGATTGTATTGTTTTGGCTGAAATTGCTAAAAATACACCGATTTTAGATTGCTTTTTTTTTTGGTTTTAGCCGAGTTGATTCGGCTTCACCTTAACTATTTATAAACAAAAGGTATAGTACAGCCCGCTTATAACGAACCCAGAAATAGCGAAATAACAGATATAACAACCGGATTTCAATTTACCATTATTGTTTGTATACCTGCAATACGACACAAGCCCGCTTGTAACGAAAAACCCCGAAAGGCCCGCTACGGATATAACAAAAAAAAAAAAGACAAAAAGGTATTCGGATTAAATGCGGTGAAATCTATTTACCGTAGAATACCGTGCATCCGCCCCCCCCATTCCACATTAAACGCCCATTACCAAATTCGTGAGATCTAAAAAATATCCACAGTACATTTATATGTAAAATTTGACCGGACAAGCGCCCATCCTCCATTTTTTTGTGATTATCTCCAAAGTTTGAGTGGGCACTTGCCCGGTATATTACGGTATGATATATTTCTAGAAACTGAGCACAAAAACAAATGGCCATCTGCTGATATTGCAACTATTGTGCCCCCTCCCCCCCCGTCCGAGCGACGCACGTGCGCTGCTTGGCAAGTTTGCCTTTCTGGCAGCATACACAACGAAGCACCGCTTCGTACGCCGTGCGGGGTATTTCGGGTTTTCGGCGTTTCCGTTCCGTGTTTTCGTGTCCTCTGGGTCCTGGCCCACCATCTTGCCTACAGTAGGCAAGATAATGGGCTGCGATACTTTAATTGTGCCGCTTTCACTACATTATGTAGTCCCGTAATGTGGGCGTGTATCAGCGTATCCACAACTGCATTCCTGTTTTGCTTCCCGCCGTCTATGGACTCCTCTTAAATCACCCACCGTACCACTCAGACTCGATTGCCACCCCTTTCCGATGCCTCCACAAGGGACACAACCACGGCCGGTATCTTCAGGGGGCACGGCAACGTCATCCAGAGCACAGCTGATATGCTGCTTCTGTTTGTCTTCAATCAGGCTGGCGTGTATTGCTAAGATTTATTGTTTTCATGCGGTGCCCTGAAGTTATTTCCAGCGAGATGTCAAAATGTTCTGCAATGCCCTTATTGCTGCTCTCGGGCGACGTCGAGCAAAATCCCGGACCAATCACTACTGAAGAATCACTCGAAAAATTGTTGCACGGACAAGCTGTCATGACTAGAAAGGACGTTAAAGAAAATCGGGCTCGATTTGAGGATCAATTTGAGAAACTATCTTAAAAAATACAACGGGTAGAAAAAGACTTCCAATCCGTGAAAGTCTGCGACCAAGTTGTCCGTAGCTTACAGAACACTGGGAAAGAAATGTGAAGAAAATTGATTGACCTGGAAGCTAGAAGTCGCAAAAATAACCTAATTGTATTTGGTATCCCTGAAACGATATACAGTCAAATCTCGTTAATTCAAACTCTCTTAATTCAAACTTGCGGATAATTCAAACTAACATACAGGTCCTATCCTATGTGTCTCTATGGGAGGAAACTCCTGGTAATCCAGACTTTGCTTTATTCAAACAAATTTTCGGTCCCCCTCGAGTACGAATTATTGAGATTTGACTCTACGAAACGGAAAAAGGTGTTAAAAAAATAAGGTTATCAAGGAGCTGTATTTTGAACGATTGGGGGTTATGTGTGGAGCCTGTTGAACAAATTCATAGGTTGGGGGCTAAACGTGGAAACAAGACTAGACTGGTTATCATGAAACTGTATGATTATTCGCCTCAAGATCGAACCGTGCCGCCACCGTGTGGCCGGAATTGGAAACGCACGTAAGCGGGGATACCGCCATGCGTCGTCTGCTACGGGCGCACGCTCAGAAGCATGGATCTCGACGATGCAAGCCCGCTTCAGGCTGAGCTTGACATTCCTTATTAAATGTTTTATGTTTTTGTTGCCGTTTCTTTTTACTAAAGGTTGTGTTGTATCGTTTGCCACGCGTAAAAATTCAGCAAAGCGATTATTATCAAGTCGGAAGCTTCCATAATCTTAGTGTGTTGTTTTTTATACAATCGCTGGCCCCACGTATTTTTGTTATCTCGCACAAACCGCGGCTTTCATAAAGCATTGAATGTTGAGTGGGTCTGTGGTTTGATTAGAATGTTAACCCGACCGATCGCTATCCTTCAATAGACTAATCAATCAATATATCCGTATGTTGATTTTTCCCCGGTCATATTGCGTGAAAGACGTTAAAAATACACATTTTTTACTGGTTTTACTATGTCATAAAAGGCATATTGCATTCCCATTATCAACTTCACGTTGCGAGTCCTACATAAATATGAACACGGGAAGCCATTTAAAATTATGTATTTTTTAAGCTACACTATAATCACCCTCGGCGAAATGATAAACGGTAAACCACGCTGAAGTGGTTTACCGTGCAAGCCTGTGTCACAAAAGAAGTAAAGACGCCAAAAATATTAAAGCGGGCATATTTTACTCCTTGTTGACTTTCTCCAGCACAAGACTCCTATTAACCGGCAAAAAAAAAATTGCAATTAAAGCATTACTTGAATAATCTGAAAGTTAATCGATGAACTGCCCAGTCCCGATATACGTTAGGTGAGGGATGAGGGTGATCGGAAAGTCTCGTGAAGGTCGCTAGCCCTAATCAGTAAAAGAGTATCACTGCGGTCGATGCTGTCTGTGTCGTAGTGCGCGTCGTTTGTTTGGGTTGCAAAGTCTACCGTGTTTGAATACAAGATTATTTAGCCAGATATTTATAGTATTGCCCTCTTGACATCTGTGGTCCTCACCAAGAAAACTGAAGCGGGTGAACCCACACAACCGAGAAAAGCATTTAATAATAGGAACATTGCTGCGTTGCTTGGTTACACTCGTTTATTACAGTCACGGCAGATATATTAGAACAGTTCGTTTCACCTGTTTTAGTTGTCCTGCCAACCGTGCAGTTTGCAGATTTTAACTGGAAAAGACACTCTCTCCTCATCGCAACGCAGTAGATTTGTTCCGACTCCAAAAAAGTTACCCACACTATGGCACAATAAAAGTGCAGAGGAACTTAATAGCATGGTAATTTCCAATACAGTGCTAACTTATCTTCTTTCTAAATATTTATATTCCTGCAAAAGCTAGACATTAAAAAAGCATAGAAACTGCGATTTCACAGACCACAGTACCAGTATTATGTTATCTGGGTTGGAATTTATTATTTTTTTAAATTTCCTTGTTGATGAACTGACATATAAAATTTTAAAAGAAACAAATATTTAACATAAATATTCCAGCTCAGCCGGAGACAGGCATCAGTCGTGGTGATCCATGCTTCCCAAAGTCTGCCTGGAGCAGACGACGCACCCAAAGAAGCGATTATATAAATTTGGGCCGCACGCTGGCAACACGATTCAATCTTCACTGAAGCACCGAACAGCAGTCTTGGGTAGTAACGCGTTACTAGTAACGCGTTACTGTAACTTCGTTACTTTTTCGGTAACTTGTAACTGTAACGAGTTACTTTTTAAAAATGTAACTTGTAACGGTAGTTCTATTACTTTTTTCTGAAGTAACGATGAAAGTAACGACGTTACTTTTGTCGTTACTTCCCAGTGTTTTACGAATAATATATCACTGCATGAGTGCAATTTAGCCATTCCTTGCACTTTCCAAATCGTCCATTCCGACATTTCGAGTGTCAAGTTGGCCTTGCATAAAGTTGTGAATACGTTCTTTCTCGCGAGTCACGACCCGAATATTTTATGAAAAAAATATCTAGTTATCTTTAAGCACGCGCTTGTACTTTGTGACTGAACACTCACATCTTAGTGTCTTGAAGCACTATCTATGTTGTGTTTTTTTCTTTTTTCTGTGCAAACGCTTTTTAATCGGGTGAATCAACCGTGAAACAACAATACACGTGGAGGGAACTGCGCATGTCTCGTATTCTGATTAGCGCCACTACTCCGCACTGCGCATGTTTCGTATTTTGATTTGCGCCACTTCTCTGGCGTGGAAACTTTCAAACACTAACTTCGAGAAGCAACTGCTGCTAAGTTACAATATGAAGTAAAAAGCATACTTTTTAATATTATGCAATAAAATGTTGTGAGAGGCGTTTTTTAGTTTTTTCTAATATTTTTTTGTGTTATAGAAAAGTAACTGAAAAGTAACGTCGTTACTTTTTAAAAGTAACTGTAACTGTAACGAGTTACTCTTTTGTTGCAGTAACTGCAACAGTAACTTCGCTACTTTTTTCTGAAAGTAACTGTAACTGTAACGAATTACTTTTTAAAAGTAACTTACCCAAGACTGCCGAACAGTACTGCATCCTTTTCCGCTAGGATTATTTTTCCACCGAGAGTATGCGACAAAATAAACGCAAGAATCTACGCCGTCTCGCGCGCGACCGTGGAGAGCCTATGGAGTGGCCGTTCTCCTATCCCCGCTTTAATAATGATAATAGCGCGACCGTAGCGCCACCTCTAGGTCGATCTCAAGGCCAATAGCGTAAAAATGAAGGTCTTACGGAACCTCTTCCAAGCTAAAAGGGTCAAAGATATCTGTCTCAAACAACTATTCGAAAGAAATACTAGGAATACGAAAACTTGTATGGGCTAGTGCAAAGGTGGATAAAGACAACAGTTAAAAAGTTAGGCTACTCAATGATGATGTACCGCTGGGACTCTGCAAACAACTATCGCTCACAAATTTCAGACACGAAACCAACCTACGCCACAGTTTACTAGAACTGCCAAGCGTGACGTTTTGTTAATAAATTTGAACGCTCGCAGTTTACTACGTAAGGTTGAGACACTTGAACATGTTTTGTTATCACATAGATGTGGTTCCTCACCGAGACTTGGCTACATAGTGATACTGATGATAATGAGATTTTCCCACTGAGTTACGAAACGCACCAACCGAGGGTCGCGTGGTGGCGGCACTTCTAGTCAAGTCTCGTGGAGAGTGTTGCCCTCTGATCAATCAAATTTCAGACCGCCAAAGTCTGGTTTGTCAAGTTCAATGGTACAGTAACCTGATCATTGTTGCTGCTGTATATCCTGCACCTACATCATTCATATAAAAAAGTTGTACCATTACAGTAAATCTCGTTTATAAAGAAATCACTTTTTTCGAATTATCTCTTCTATCGAACTTCAACATGGTCCCGACCGAAACGCACACATGTTTAACCGGATTATTCTAAGTGTAACAGAGGCCGACCACGCTTATCACGACAGGGTCCGGAGCCGACAGCACGCTAGCCTAGATAGGGGATGCACAGAGGCATCTATTTCCTTACTAAAAATCTGATTGAAATGTGCACCACGCCCCTTTCTGAGCAAAAGAATCTGGAGCACAGAATTTAGCTCCGCTGAATTTTCTACTCCAGATTTGGAAAGCAAACATGCAATCTCCAGAAATTAAGAGTGCTTGTTTGTGCATATTTCATTGCACCCTAGTCCACAGTTTCCTTTGAAATTAAAGTGCTCTCAAATGCATCTTATTTGCTTTTACGGCATCTACAAAGACGAGTTCTCCTCCCGTGCCAGTCACAAGCACCCCGTGTATTTAGTGCTTCTCACTTGGCAGTTCCTCGCAGCGCAAAGCTTCCGAGAAACCGCTGGTTTTACAAAAAAACTGGTTTTCGAAAAGAAGAACAAAAAACTTGGATTTAAGTTTTGTTGAGTATTTTAGAACCATAAACACCTAATGTCTTGTATAGTATTAAACACTGATGTGGAATTATTGGAGCTACTTAGAACTAAAAATTTTTAAGAAACACAAAAGGGGCTATTTTATCAGCTTATGCTATATCCTGCATGACTCTGGCATTCCATAAGCATAAAGAAATCACAAACTTTTTTTAAGGTCCAGATATAACGAATTGTGGATGTTGCAAACATATTCCCGATTCCCACTGACTGCGTTATAACAGGGCTCGACTGTATGTTAATAAATTTGAAAGCGGGAGAGGAAAACAAATGGGAGCATACCTCCATTCATGTAGTTGCCCAGAGCCAATATAATACCCAGGATGTTGTGCACGTCCGGATTCTTCAACAGCGTCTGCAAGAACACACTCTGTTCAGCCGGACGTGTGCCGACCAACACAGCTTTCCCTACACTTGGAGGAATCAACCACATAGTTATCAGAGTGTACGCTAGATGTTCAACTGGAGCTAGTGTCTATGCGACTTCCAGGATGCAAAGTGAAGCAGACAGCAACGAGCCTACTTAATTAAAATTAACTGTTGGGCTAGCTGGGTAAACATCTTAAATACAAAAGCACAAAGGACAAGGCCAGAACAAAGTTACAGACAGGACGAGCGCTTACTATCATCCGAGTGGTTAATGCATGAAAAGTTGAGGACGAAAATGACAGGAAAAAGACGAAAAGAAATTGCATAATTATTTCGAACAAACAAATAAAAAATTACTTGCAAATTTTAAAGAATTTAGAAAATTAACAAAATTAAATTAATAAACGAGATAAAAAGAGAAAAGCAGTCGAATTAAGAAAAAAAGGTTGAGGTACCCCCATTCTTTTTCGGACAGTGAATTGATGGTGGGCTAATACACCTGTTTCCTTTTCCTATTGTTTTTTGTCTAAAAAATTTCTCTAGCTCCATCGCTTTGAAAGCGATTGAGGACTTTTGTTTGATAAATTAGAGGAGTGCATTGACATGTATGGTCATGCTCTTTAATGCTGCATTAATGTAAGACTACCGGTCTTACATTAATGCAGCACCCAGATTGACCAACATTCACTCTCCCACATGTGCACGGAATTTCGTACACAATGTTGACGTTGCAGTCGACATATCTATGTGCATGCCGGACTCAGCATTGTTCTTGTCATTCTTTTTGGGAGTTCATCTTCGTACAGAGTTTTAGAAGTTTATCAGCTGCTGATGTTACCACCTGAATGTCGTATTTAGAGGCTGTCCATTTTCAAGTTGAGAGATTTTGTGTTGATAGGGTATCACTGCCGGTTGGCACGTTTTATCATTTCTTTTTCTTCTTCCATTACGAGTGGTCAAGCTCTCTGCTACATCAAACGATAACGAACTGATATATTCAGATTCAAGTAGATTTTGAAGTTGTGCCTCGAATCTCTGCTTGGCGATGTGCTCGCATGATTTTTGCAAAGCTGCAATTAAGCAACTTTTAACAATTCCTTTCTCAATTATTTTAGAAAGTGCCGAGTCAAATGGAAGAAGTGTTCTTTTGAACAGTTGTTTGTAGGTCCAACATGTATAGTTGTCCTCAAAGGACAGCTGAAGATCTAGGAATTGAAGCTTGCTGTTAGTTGGTAGTTTGTGGGTAAACTTTAGTCCCAGAGATTGAGTCAGGAACGTGGTGCAGATTTTGTTTACTGTCGACGAGTCGTTTTGCTCAGGTCATTCATGGAGCAGGACCAGATACTCATCAATGTATCTGAACACACGTGATACCACTTTTGCTGGAAGCTTCAGAGCTATGTTTCTCTCACATTAAGTTTAGAAGATGTTACACAGAACTGGTGCTACGCATGAGCCGGCACATAATTCTTTGGATAAAGGCGTAGCTGTTGAACGTTGCTTCAGTAAAAATGAGGTAGGATTTTCGAAGCTCTAAGAATGAATCCACGGAAATACGACACTGGTTTTGAAAGGACACAGTTCCATCGGTCTCGACGCATTCACTGACCGCCACAAACATTTCTTTGTGTGGGAATGAGTAGAATGAGTCTTTCACGTCAAGAGAAACTCCAAACCTGACTGTCGTGCCATTTAACTTACGATGTATCGATGTCTCAGAGTTGAAAATAAAAAAAAAGGACTGTTCGATTCAAGTTTTTTTGGGTGGAGTAGAACGAATTGGGACAGTGCTCCTCCCTACTATGATCCTTGCGCATTCGTATAAGAAAACGTGAGCGCATTTTCTTTCTTCGCCAGGAAATACTGTGGATCACATTTGTCATTTGGGTCATGCTGAATAGTATGCAGCTTCATTATTGCTGCAAAAGTGTAACTGCATTAGTTATCACATTTTTTTCATCACTGAAAGATGTTAAACCTCGCCATATTTAATGCTCAAACCTCCGTTTCACGTCAGGTGTGTAAAAACATGTGACGATTCTAAGAAAAATTGTGATCAAAAGGAATGTAGATGTAGGGTGTACTTAAGGATTGCCAGCATTCCAACGACGCTTATAATATATTGCCAATATGCCAGTCCCGCATAACCCAGTCGTGCATCTTTATGAGCGGTTAAAAACATCAAACGTAAAGAATAAAGTATGTGAGCTATGAAAGGTGTTTCTTTATTATTTCCTATGCATAGTAGTTTTTATTGCGAACCTGTTTTCTGGCTCCTCCATATTTTCAGGGATTTTGAGTGTGAGGGTGATGTTTCGAACGTGGAACAAGCACCTTCGCACATCCACGTGAGCAGAAAGAATAAAACGGTACTTATTCATTTGACTATAGTTACTCGGCCTTCACTTTACTTTGATTGTCTTCATGCACAGGGACTTACTGCAAAAGGTGCAAAAACACTAGCCCTCCTCCCTGTCGGAAGCAGATGCAGCAGAAACGCTTGTGGCCAAGAAATACGAGAAACATCAACAAGATGAGCTCCCCTCTGCTAATCGATAGACTGCAAAGGAAACAACAACGCGCCCTCCAAGAGCGCCGACCCTGCGCCTTAACCAGACACATGTCGAGTTTCCCGGCATGTTTTTTGGCCATTGTGATTTCGGAAATCGGACTCCACCGGATACTACTGGCAAGGGCTTTCCAGACTTTTTTTTTTTTTGTTTCGAAAAGACTGGCAGCCTGGCTTTACCGAGTTTCCCCAGTTGGCAACCCTTTGTAACAGAGAGCTCCGATTGAAATAAACATCACTCGTTTCGTTCGTTCGCAAAACAAACGTGGCCCCATATGATTGGGTTTTACTAAAGTCTTAATATGTTTATCCAAAGGGAAACCCCTTGTAGGGGTGGGACAAAGGGACGCTTCTTTAGGCGGAAGCAGGGAACCTTATACTCAGTTATTTTGAGCTGCACTGTCGAGGCTAGCGTACCTTCTGCAGTGCTCCGACCGCGGAGCAAAAAATAATAATCTACCGTAATATCCCGAGTCATCGCCCACCCCCCTACCGCCTGAAATTCGTTAAAAAAGTGGGGTGGGCCATGTCTCGGTGGGTGAGCACAAACACCTGAAAAAAAGCGGAAAAAACCGCCTATTTTTTCTCTGCGTATCTAGCGCTGATGCACAAGAGATACATCAAACTCAAAACTTGATTTAGTTTCATTGTTTTATAGAAAAAATGCTCACGAAAGAATATTTTACTATAGCGAAGTTCGTTGCTTGCATACGCGCTAGAAACACCGCCGATCTGCATATAGCGCGAACGTTTGTTCCGTGAAAGAATGTCACCATTATGTTCTCCTAGTTAGTAAAAAAGAAAGAAAGAAAAGTCTACAAGAAAATAGAAAAACCGACCAGGCGCAACGACGAGCGAGCGGACCAAAGAAGCGACCAAGAGCAATGCTGGGAAAGCGGGAAAGCCGGCGGTCGCGTTGGCAAATACTTTGGCGTCGGGCCAAGTCGGGCGCCTTGTCAATTGCAAGCCCTTGCGCAACTTGTTTGGTGCATACATACGTGCGTCCGTGCGCGGCGGGCTATCAATGCATGTTTGGGACGCTCTGCAAACGTCTGTGTAGGACGTTCCAGCAAAGCTTTATTTACGCTTTGGCTTTGCCTAAAATATTGCACAACCGCGGTCCCGACGGGCGGGAAGAAGGAGCGGGTTCGCGGTGACCTTACTTCGGCGGAGACAGACTTTGACCTAACACTCCGCGGTTACGTTAACAAACTCTTATTTTGTTATCTCCATCGTTTTCTTTTCGCACGGATACACGACCACTTTGGGGTCGCTCACGGAGGAAATGCGTAAACAAAAAGAAGTGTCATTCCCTCCTTCGTTTTACTTTGTCACGGACGTCCTCCAACTGTAAGGTCCGCGACCGCGTCATTCGGGTAGGATGAGTGTTCGCGGATCGCAGAGTCCGCGCTGGGGTATTTGAAGGGGTGGGCGATGACTCGGTGTTTTTTCGGAAATCGATATTGGCCCAAAAAATGGGGTGGGCGATGGCTCGGGGATGGGCGATGACTCGGGATATTACGGTAGAGAGAAAAGTCCCTTCGGCTGCTTCAGCACGGTGGGGCATATGAATGGTCCCAATGGGACTGTGTTGCTGATGACACCTCGATACGTGCACAGAAGCAGCAAAACATTGCTCGTGAGCCGTTTTTCTAGCTCTTATTTTCCTGTCTCGTATAAAAATAAATAAAGCTGACGACCATTCAAACAACTTGATTGCACCGAGGCATGCATGCCTAACCCATCCTTCCCCAATGCAAGCGCTCACGATTTGCCAAGTTCTTCCCACTTTACATTTTGGCTCCGACACTATCGCAGCTGCCTGCGCGAGCGAATGAAAGAGCAAGTCCCAGGCTCAGTGCCCAAGCATTGCGAGAGCAGCCTTGGCAACGCAGCACCAACTGGAACGCTTCTCTGACTGCGTCTGCCCACCATCAAAGCCAATCCCCGAGCAAAGGACGCCGCAAAAGCCGCGGGTCAGGCTGTCGCAATCCCGGCGGCTGGGCCTAGTCGCCAGACAATGCGAGTGTTGCCTTCGTCTCGCTGCCTTCCGTCAACTGTCAAGCTGGAGAGGCAGCAGACGTCGAGGAACATGCTGATGAGACACACTCCAGACTCACGTCGCAGGTCATCTTGAGGTTGTTGAGCTTGTTCTCGACGGCGCTGATGGATTCCGTGTAGGTTGACTGAAACATGATGCAGCCCACCCGGTCTGCATACTCGGGGATCTTCGACAGGTCCAGGAGGAACCTCTCCGGCTTGTCCAGGGCAACATCCGGCTTGGCAGCCAGGTGGTCCTGGATCAGCTTCAGCTCTTCGGCCGTCGGACGCTGAAACAGAGACACTCCTTTGGCATCATTTCTTTTAGAACTTTCTATGGGGATCCACAAAAACTAAGGGGAATCGCCACTGTGGAAAGCAGATTGAATCTCGCTGAATCAGCCAGATCGGAGCACATCTTGATGCAGCATGGGACCTTGCACAAACAGCTCGTGCACTTCCGCAAGTTTTCCGGCACTTTTGGAACAGGTGTAGAGAAGTGGTGCAAGCAAGAGAAAGCATCGACACAGCGCTTGTTCGTAATTGGGGAAGCGATAAATTAGAACCAATTCGGCGCACCACGGAATGCAAGAGCTGGCCTTAGCGGCAGTACCAGAAAGTCGAGAATATGTTCTAACAATTTTTAGCTCCCATTCTTTATTTCACGCATTTTAAAAATTTATTTTTTAGGAGCTGGACATCTGATGCAATAAGTAGGCACATATTTTCATTGGATAAAATCTGCCCTTATCAGTGTATGCATTCTACACAAGAACACCTGCAGCTCATCGAAAGTGGAAAAAACCTACGCAAAGAAGTGAACGGCAATGAGCAAAAATGAGGGAAAATGCGAGAATATAAAGAAGCGCAAACACAAAATGTGCTTGATCGCTGCCATCACTCATTTGGGATTTCCAGAAAAGGCCGCATTACTTCGTTGCGCGGGTATATTCCGGAAAAACAAAGCCAACAGTGGCCGCCATTTTCTCGCAGAACAGCGGCGCAAGGGAATGTCCATCGATGAGCTTGTGCACGCAAATCTTGGAAAAGCTGCACCTTTAGTTTTGCTAGTACTGTAATTCCATTTTTCTCCGAGGAGTGAGCCACTGCACGGCAGATGTTGTAAAAGTGCTCGGTGATTCGAACGTGCAAATAACCGCTAATACGAAGAGTACTTTGCACATTTTCCTCGGTGACTCCCAAGCTCAAACTATACCCAAACTCCCAGATGCTAAATTTTTAGGAACTGACTGGTATCTTATTTGCGAGTTACAAAGAATTTTTAGAAAATTTTCAGAAAAAGAAAAAAAAAAAAAAAACATTCAGCTAGCTCCAGGTATTCAAGCGCTCTGTCGGCCGCCATTTTCCCGTAGAAAACTTTAGAAAATCGCCTATAACTTTGTATGAAGATAATGCAGTTAGTTTGGAATTTTCGGCATCTGGTTCGGACCACCTGGGTTTAGTCTTGTGCGAATAGTGGATTTTGAGTTCGAAGCGAATTCGAAGCAAATAGTGGTTTTGGCCGAATATTTTCGAATCGAATATCGAATAGTTTTTCCACGCCTTTCACTACCATTACATAATGCTTAGACAAAACCCCAGCGAAACTTGTGAAGGTTGTTCCACCTGTTCATTTATAAGCCTAGTTTAATCTATCTATATTTATGAACTGTGACCTCAGAATGTCTGATCTCTTGGGATGGTAAGTAAACAACAAGTTTGACATAAAATGAATCCAATGGAAATGGATAAACTATATGCAATTGAGTGAATTTACAAATCTTAAATATTCTTTCTTTAATTTCCAGTTAAAAAAGAATGACTCGCGCACGATTAACGCAGGTTGTAAGGGCATTTCTGCCCAACATATACTCTTGCAAAACAGTCAGTTTAATTTTAAAACTTTTACTACAATGTCGATACTGTAAAACCCTTAATGTTTACGAGCCCTTAATTTTCGCGAATATCGCGAATTGAAAAATTTGCGAAACTTAAAGGCACGCGAAAATTTCGGTCTTCAAGAATTTCAATGTAGGTATCTGGAATTCGCGAACTTTAGTGGCCGCGATATGTCCTCTGACCGATTCGCGAAAAATAGGGGCCCCGAAAATAAAGAGTTTTACAGTATACATATTCACAAAGTTTCCATTTATTTTCATATACAGCCGGCACGCATGCACCATCCCGCTTTGAATGTATGGTTTTCGTCCAAGCACGCAACCGCGATATTCATACTTTTCCAAATGTTTATCATGGCGGGTTACTCTGTTGAGTGCGCTTCTTACCAAGCACCCCTGCAATGCGGAGAAGCAACAGCTGCGGAGCTTGCTTTTGCGGGTATTGCTACTGCGCAGTGCACCGGTGCTCGGTAAGAAGCGCACTCAACAGGGCTAACCCACCGCAATCAACACTTTGAAAAACGCGAATAGTGAAGTTCTTCTCGAAGCGAATATCGAATAGTGTATTATTCGGAACTACTATTCGAAATTTCTAATATTCGCACAACCCTACCTGGGTTACATTTCGGTAGAGAATGACATTCGGCGATGCATGGTTTACGTTTGCAGTAAAAAATACTCCGAGAATTTTTTCGGAGGGGAGGGGAGATACACTGTGCAGATTTGAGCAACTCACTGATGCTGTGCCACACTCCCCAGTGTGTGTATCGTTTTCGAGGCTCCTAGGCTCCTGTACTGCTTTGGACTCGCATTTCAATCCCGCCAGTCTAAAAAATTGTCTTCATGCAAACCCTCGGAACATATAGTCTAGAAGCAAATACTATTTGAGTACCTCCGGACTAATTCTATTCTTTGCCCACAAGAGCCTGGCTTTCGTCATGGCCACTCCACCTCAACCCAATGTCTTGAATTCACTCACGACATAGCTTTGGCTTTAAATAAAAGAGGACAACTTGACACTACTTTTGTAGATCAGTGCTTCCCCAATAGAGGTCCACGAAGTCAAGTCAAGACGGGGCTTCGCGGACCAGAGGTCCGCGAAGCCCCGTCTCATTAGTCAAACTCGTCAATAAAATGTCTTTTTTTAGATAGAGAAGAAACATTCTAATTTTCGAGTGAGTTTTCTCGTATGTATGTCAATGAGAGAAATACAGTTAAACCCGTTTATAACGAACAGCAGGAAACGCTACGATCAGTTCGATATAGCAAGTAATTCGATATAGCAAAAACCATTTACAACGCACTTCCACGATCCATTCGTTGTAAGGCGAGGCCTTCTCTTTCTCATCTCTTCGCTTCCGCCTTGTAACAATGCGCTGGAAAGCTTCTTTTTTTTTTTGCATGGGTGCAGAGTTTTTTTTCTAGCTTATCTCCCCTTCTGACTTGCTTCTCTTCGTGGGCAACCGTTTTGGGATGAAAAAATCCTTTTTTTATGTGCGTGCGTGCAGAGTGTATTTTTTAGCTTTCTCTCCATTGAATCACTTCTCTTCGCTTAGGTAATTGTGCTCGCAACTTGAGCTTTTGGAATTTTCTTTCTTTCCTACTTTTTTGGGGAAGAAGGGACAGGCTAGAAGATGATTGTGGTCGCGTCTTTGGAAGCCTTCTCGGGGGGGAAAAAGTTTGATATAACCAATATGTTGTTCGTTATAAAAAGTACTTTTTACATGCACTTTTATTTAAATTTTCCGCGAGTTTGATATTGACAATAATTCACTGTACGTGAGTTCGTTCTAAACGGGTTTCATTGTATACTTTGCACTAGCCCCAAGTTTTATTAATTTATTAAATCATTATCATATTTACCCTATACTTTTCCCTTCCCCTCACCACAAACGGGGTCCTTTATCATCTCTGCCTATCCACAAGGGGTCCCACGAAACATCAATGGTTGAGAACCATTGACGTAGGTTATTCTAAGGCTTTGGATAAAGTGCTACATCATAAGCTTCTTCAGAAAGTGATATTCAATAAAGTGCAATCCACTTAAAATGATACCAGATATAACAACGTCCTGCTTATGACGATCAGTTTCTAGTCTCTAGACTAGAAACACTCAGTTTTTAGTCCAGATACAATGATAATCGATTATAACGATTGAATTTCTGGGTTTTCTCATTATCGTTATAAGTAAACTGTAATACGTCATTAGATAATTGGATCGAAGATTATCTAAAAAGTAAATCACAGTTTGTCTCATACAGGGATTGTTCATTCTAGCAATGTCCCGATGAGTTCCGGTCTGGTGTCCCAAAGGGATCGGTTTTAGGACCTCTTGTTTTTACTTTATATCAATGATGTTGCAAATGGTCTTCCAGTTAAAAAATCTTTATGCAGATGATTGCGATCTGTATAACGAAATCAACTCGTTAGATGACCATGCCTCGCTAAACAACTATTTTGTACAGTTTCTTAATTGGAGTCAGAAGTGGCAGACGGAAATTTTCAGATATTTGTGGTTATGACATTTACTAATAAGAAGCAACTGTCTGTTTGTAAGTATAGTTTTGGGAATAGAATTCTGCGCCAAGTTCATAAACACGAGTATTTGGGTATTTTATTCGCACCTAGTCTCAAATGACCCATCCCATTTGAGACTAGGTGTGAATAAAATACCCAAATTCCCGTGCTCTGCAAAGGCTAGGATATGTCAAAAGAACCTTAAAATCTTCAACTGAGGAAGTTAAAATACCTGCATATAAGACATTGATTAGACCTATCTTAGAGTATGGTTCTGTGGTATGGGCTCTGTATCTAAAGGGTGATTTAAGCAGATTGACACAATACACGCAGAGACAACTAGGTTTATTTGTATTAGATACGACCGTAATTGTTCTCCTACATCTTCCATGGCTGACACAGGACTCGCGCCTTTTGATTCCAGACGGGCTGCAGAATGAACGACTTAAGCTTCTACACAAAATAGGGATATAACTGTGTACTTAATCGGGAAAAATATGTTGCTTCGGTGACTCGATTACGCACTCGAAGCTTCCATCCTTTAAATCTTGTACCGCGCAGTGCCCACCTTAACTGTGTTAAATATTGTTTTTTTTCCTAGAACGCTAGAAAACTGGAACATTATAATTGAACCAGCAAGTTATCTCGAATTTGATAGCTTTCTATTAGAAATGCAGTAGGTTCCTTAGTATAGTCCCTGTGAGTCTACTATTTAAGTGTATGCGATTGTTTTTGTACTGATTTTCAGCTATATTGCTTTCTTCACGGCTTTCTTAGTTTTGTTCCATGGAGGTTGTACATCTTCCAACAGTTTTTTTTATTTTTTGATGTATATGTATGTTTTCTTTCCACTCCTGAGATGACCTCGTTGAGGTGGCAGTATTTATGAAATAAGCCAGATGGAGGAATCCGAGGACCATCAAAGCGAGGTGTGAATGCTGCTTACAATTTCGTACAGAGCTTGCAGGGTGTCCAGGCTCACCACCGACGTGTCGAAATTGTAGATGGCTGGGAAAAGAAGAAATACACAAGCTCCATCACGCTGACATACACTAGGAAGCACACACATTTTTAAAAATGAATTGTCCACCGACTTTTTAGTTTTAAAAAAATATTTTAGTAGTTAAAGGCCTTTATAACAAAGTCCGCAGGACCGACAAGCTTTTCCATAGAACAATGCGACTTATATGCTTTTTTTTTCATTAATTCTTGGTGCGATGCAATATTTTTATGTGCCGTGCGCCATCTGTTGTAAAGCACGATAACTATGTAGCCATAGGTGGTGTTGCCTCTTCCAGGAGGCACTGCTGTCATCACATTCTTGTACACTTTTTATAACTGACTCAGGAAGCAAGAAATTTTGTGCCTGCCCCGAAACGGCTCAATGTGGATAGGCAAGAAAGTGAGAATAATACTTTTACAGCATGCGATCGACGTTGCCTAACTGAGCCATGTTCTGTATTCTTTTACCTCAGTCCAGTAAAACTAAAAGTTAAGAGGGCTTGTATACACGCATTGCAGAAAATTGTTTTGCATCTTAGTTTTTGCTTGACGAGCAGTTATTACCATATTTACTTGCATAATGAACGCACGCCCCACAATGGGTACCAGTATTTGGACTTTTTTTTCCCCTCGCGTAATGACCGCATTTCCAATTTTCGGCACCGCGAATCTGGAATTGCATCCAATTTAGCTAGCCACCGAGCCAATTTTTTTTTGCTGCCAAGCGGTGAGATGAGGCCAAGTCAAGGTAAGCAATCTGCTCTCGTAATGGCTGCAAGTGAGTAGTTGCGGAAGTGACCAACCGTGAAACAAAGCGGCGCGCACACTTGATGAAGCTTGGATTGAGGAATAAGCCCAGCCCCGGACATTCTTCGCCTATCGGATGCATTGATGTCAACAAACAAGCCGTCGTCCGCCTTCGGACAGCGAAATTGTGGAAGCGGCGAGGACTAAGAACGGTTGCATCGCTCTCCGTGCTGAGTAAGCTTTGTAGGGTGCTTTTCTTTTGGCAAAAGGCATGCCGAAAGTGCTCCAAAAGGTTTGCAATTTATAAAGCATGGTTACTGTGGTGCACCCCCGACCAGCTGTGGGTGTGCCTCCATCAGTGGAGACGTGCCACAGTACCCAGTCGTGTCATATTGGCACCTAACATGACATTCGCACGAAGTGTGTAAATGCAAAAATTTTACCTCGCGTAATGAATGCACCCCCAAATATGTGTAAATTTTTCGGGAAAAAAAAAAAGTGTGTTCACTTTGCAAGTAAATACGGTACCTGCCACGCTCCAGCCGTGTTGTTACATGTAAAAGGAAGGATTGTGGCTAGTCAATCTTTTAGCAGTACCCAAAAAAGTGTGTCAAGAATTATCTATCTGCTTGCGCGTTGGTGCTCTTGTCTCTGTGACTTGGCATGGGCTAGGTGTTAGTGACCAAACTTCATAATTTAATGTCATTAATTTATTTTTATTTGGTATTTTAATTTAGTAGTGTAATGTAAGGATTTAGGTGATTTATTGAATTACTTTAGGTGTGAATGTTTGGGTCAAAGTGATGAAGAAAAGTATAAAGTTTTAGTTAATAGTCAGCGGTGTGTATGTCTCCATTTCTCCCTGTCTGTGTTTTGTCCCTATCGTTCTAGGAGGCTTCAACCGTCGCCGCTGCCGCAGAATTTCTCTTCTCTACGCGTGTCACTTGAGAGCAACAATTTACGTCAAATCCGATAATTTTGACCTGGAAAATTCGTAATAGTACCGGTTCATTTTGATTTGTACAGGGTGTCTGCACTGCACAGGGTGTCTACCAAGTTGACATTTTCAAATTCCCCGAGTTTTCCAGGTTTTCCCCGAGTACTTTTATGAAATTCTCTGAATGGCACGGAACTTTGTTTTAGGTCAACATGGGCCGACACCGTGTCGCCAGATGCTGTCACTCTCTAAAAAGCATGTTATAAAATAAAAAAGACATAATACAGTTTTAATGGTAACGAATAACTTTTATTAGATTCAAAAAGAAAACAGAACGCAGTGGTTAGTAAAATTCATAGCGAATAAAATATAAAAAAGATAAACTGAGGTTTACGTGACCCCCCCCCCCCCTCCCAGTGAGGTCATGTGACCTCAGGGGGGGGGGGGGGGGGGGGGGGGCCTATAAGGCGTTTGAAGTGCGATTGCTCACCCCTTGCTGCCAACACACTCTACTTCACAAATTTTTTTTTCTTCTTCAATTTTGGGGTTAAGGAGTCACGCAGTGAAAGCGGCGTTTGGGGAAAAGAGCGCACGCGACCGTTCCAACAGCGGGCACTCCCTGCCCTCCCTACGCGCGCGGGTGTCCTTCTCCTTACTTTTACTATCCTACACTTTGTTTTTATTGGTTGCTTTTTTTAAATTTTTTATACAGTTGCTTTTTCGCTGTGTATCCCAGCTTGCGCGTATGCTGGCTTGGCGGCCTGCCAGCCCCGCAACCCGAGCTGTGTGCTCCCCGCCGGCGCAATTTGACCCCGGGAAAAGCGAAGGACTGCCGTGCTTCGTCTTCGTTGGCTACATCGAGTGTCCCCGCCATGGGAGTTATGGGCGTTCAATACAGAAAAACAATGCGATTTTCTAGGGGACGTTTGGTCTGTTTCATATAAACGATAATTCGAAAAACACGGGTGTGATATAACCGGGCTCGACTGTACATTTGGCCCATTCCATTGATATCTGAAGAATTTTGGACTGTGAGAATCCATCTGTAACACTTTTAAAAATTAAAAATATTAATAAAAAAAATTTCCCTGATTGAAGCACGAATTCCCCGAGTTTTCCATGAGATTTTCCAGACTATTCAAGATCCCTGAGAATTCCCGGTTTTCCCAGTTGGTAGACACCCTGACTGCAATGGCTCCGTTAAACAGAAATATTTGTTAAAAAAGAATTTGTTGTAGCAGTTGAAGAAACATATTCAAAAACATAGGAGATTGGCCGGGGCTTTGTCGTACTTCGCTAAACGGGAGTTTTCGTAGAAGTGTTCGTTATAAAAGCATTTGACTAATTTTTTTAAAAAATTTCTCCCCCTCTTTCAATTGATTTCCTCGTTTTCCTACGGTGACCCTGTTCCCCCCCCCTCCATATGCGTCCCTTCCCTCCTCCCCTCGCCTACCAGTGCTTTACCCACTAAATTTATTGGGGAAGCCGCATTGGTGTCCAGCAGGGGTTCTCAAACTGGGTTTTTGGGGAACACAGGGGTTCCACGAGCTGGTCTCATGGGTTCCGCAAACACCCAAATTGCAACCTCCCCTCCCCCGCCGCAGGCTGCGCGGCAGGACCATGCGAAGCGCCTTCACCTCCCTTTGTACTGACATCGCGATTGATATGGTGGGGATATATGGGAAGCAACACAAGCGAAATTGCCTACAATTGTGCATCTGTTACTTCTCGGTTGGCAAATAGAGAGGAGGGTTCCGCGGCAGGTTTTGAGGCTTCCTGGGGTTCCGCGAGACCAAAACATTTGAGAACCCCTGGTGTAGAGCACACATGATGTCAATTTCCCCACTAAATTAAGCGGGGAAACTGGATGGTGTAACGCTCGTTCGTGACGCTTGGTCATGATCTTCTCCTAGAAAACACACTGCGTTAGAAGAGTTGAAGAAACTACGCTGCAAACACAAAATCGGACTGGACGTCTTCAGACACACAGTGCTTCCTACAAGCAGAGTCCCGCTTTGTGAGGACGGGGCCTACCGTTCTCCACATCAGAGATCTCCAGCCGGAGGCTCGAGATGAGGATGCCCACGTTCTGGGAGCGCTTCTGGTCCAGCAGCTTCGCTACCTGCGTGCAAAAGGCATGCAGGAACTTGCTCAGCATGCCTCATCCACATTTCCTCCTCCGACGCTTCCTCCTCCTTTGTTCTCAAGCTCGCTCTTCTTTCACATTTCCTCGTGTCGAGCGTCAAATGTTTTCATAAATTGGCTCGAAAGAAGGTAAATAAATACTGCGAAATGAACGGCTGTCACAGCCACCTAGTATGCTCATATTTCGAGCTCGAACTAGAAAACCATAAAATTTGTGCGAGTGTTAAAAGAATTTTGCTAGAAAGAGATATTGTAGAACATCGTGAATCGGAAGACAGTCGGACAACGAAGAATATTCTAATAAAATTAATTTTTGTATTATTGAAATTACAAGAAAGCGAAAAAAATCGTGCCCGAAGCGTATAATAATTGTACGCTAAGCCTGGACGCATAGTTTGAAGAAAACATTACATTAGAAATGAAACACAATTGCAGGAATAATAATTGACGTGGGACTCTCACGTTCTGTATTTAGCGGCACCCTAAGTCATCCTCGAAGAGCAGAATCAAGCGCAGCATCTCCAAACCGGCACTACTGCAGTCCACGAAGCTGTAAACAACGTTCAGCATACAATACTAGAGTGATCAAATAACTTCTCGCAAGGCCCGAGCCAGAGCCAGTCATTATCACCCTCGGCTGTCGTACCTCCAGTTATTTCACTTTCAATGCCCGCGTGGAGAGTATCATTTTTTTTAACGTTCCAGTCGTCGGAGGGCTCACTCCGATAAACTAACCGTCAATGTTATTAATGTGCACGCTGGTTTGAAAACATCTGTAGCAAACCTGCGTACAAAATTATCCACAAAAAAAAAAAAAAAAAATTTGGAACGTTATGGCAGCAGTGTGCGACAAATGACGATTACGGTTTTCATGGCACAATGACAATGGAGACCATATTGCGCCAATTCAATATTGTTTAGAATGCATTAAACAAAACGGTTCGAGATAGCAGAATAAAAACTACAACTGATGTAAGTAGCTAGTTTTCCTCAAGTGGTCGAAAACATGGTGAAAAGGCAATAAAGGGAAGTCCTAAGTAAAAGAATGTTCAGCCTTTCCACTCTCAAGATGAAGGAAGACCCAGCAGAGCTATACTCAATACACTGCCGCAATGCGCACGCGCCCGTTTCCCGCTTCTTCTCGTCCGACACGCCACCAATCGTCGATACGTCTTCGGCGACCCAGAGTCGGTCGCACACGGCGCCAAACGGGTAATCCACAAACTCCCTCTGGAACATCGCCGTCGTGCCCGGGAACTGTTCAGCCGGCGTGGAGTGCAGTCGTCGCCGGGCCTCGCGCTTGCGCTTGGCCTCCACGGCACGATCGTCGTTCGTGGCATTGGCCCGCCGGTGCCCTTTACATCGCTGGTTCTGTTCTCGGTGGCGGCTTTCCAGGCAAGCGATGTGCTCTTCTTTGGCAAGGGAATCTGAAGCGCTCGACGCATTGGAAGCCGTGGCGACAGCGGTTTTGTGGCGGTTACGGACCCATTCGCGCTGCTGCATACGTCACCGCTCCTTCCGCAGCCAGTCCTCTTTCCCCAAAAGGGCGCGCGGCCGATCCATCCTAAGTCCAAACCGAAACTAATAAGAGCGTAGGAAACAGCGCACTAAACAGACAAGGACGAAGAAGCACACGTGACAAGCGCTGCGCTCGTTACGCGTGCTTCTTTGTCGTCGTCCGTTTTTCGAGCCCTTTCCTACGATGAATTCCCACCAACACGCCACACCGCCCAACTATCCATTCTTCTATGATAGCTGAAAAGGTTGGCGCCATCTACGAGCAACGGCGAAAACCATACTGGTTGTGTGCTTGTCGCCGTTGCTTATAGATGGCGGTAGCTGTCCAGGGACGTTTTTGTCGACACTTTTTTTGTACTGGACACGATCCTTGGGTACCTAGCCCTTAACAGCTCCACTGTAAAACATTGAATGAAAGGGAAGATGACCTCTAAGAAGTTAAGGGAAGCTACGCTGGTGCAATCGATGGTCAAATTGGCAATGCCATCAAATGTGCAACACTTTCCCCACAATTGGCACAGAGCTTTACATTTTCGCCAGGAAGAAGGTGCAAGTGTGCGTGGCCAATCCTCAGGCAGTAGGGCAGAACACTGCATTTCCTGTGAAACAAGCTCTTTCACAGTGCCCAAATGGGCTTAATGATACTAAGTTTATTGTCGCATTCCCTGTCCCACTGTACCTGCCATGATATCGAGAGTGATTTCTTCAAAGTCAAATTTGGGGGTTTTACGAGCCCAACCAACGAAGGGCATCTGGCACACTCCAGCGGACGAATGAGGATTAATTTCGACCACCTGGGGACCTTTCGCAGGCAACCGAAAGGTTGGTTACATGGTGCCTTCTCCGCAATATTCCTCCGTCATATTGCAAGCCCCTCGGCAGGGATTCGAGCCGGCCACTTGGGGATCCCTTAGGCCGGTGCTTTGCACCTCGGAGCCACCGAGGCGGCAATAATTTCTTCAAAAGCAGTTTCAAATTTTGATGAAGTAAGGCACGAGTTGCTATTACATCCTTGGAAGATGTAGCCAATCTATTGGAACTTTCCATGCTAGGAAAAGTTCGGCAGCTTTTTGAAGATGGCAAATATTCTGGCAGCTAAGGTGCCAAATAAATAGTACACGCATACATTTGTCACTCGCATAGCAGCCACAGCCCCAACACTAAAATGTTCGCCGAAAGCTGCAAATTGGAAGAGCTGCAAAGAGGACTTCTCAGGCTAGGAAAGGTCTGGCAGCCTTTTGAAGATAGCAACATTCTGGCAACTGCAGATAGTAGACACATACCTACATATTTGTCAGAATCACGAGCCACACCCCTGAACTCTACAAAAAAAATTACTGTATCTCCACGTGGTGAATGATGTTGGTTGGGGCGAAGCTCTGGTGGTGCTGATACGCTGAGCTGCAGCATGCCGAGCCTTTCGTTCGTTTTCATCCATGTCAGAAAGAGAATGTATGGTATGGAACGTGGTTATATACGCATTCGAGCATTTGATCGCAGCACCCTCTTGTCTATAAACGTTGAGCCAATGCATGCAAAGTTTAACGCGATTATATACGAATTTGACCACTGCGCCCTTTCCTGAATAGACGTTGAGCAGCTACATGCAACGTTTCATCCATGACATCCCCAGCTCTTGAGTTACTACCACATCTCAGAGCCCACTACTCATCCCGCAGTCGTGGCAGAATGGTTAAGGCGATGGACTAGAAATCCTTTGGGGTCTCCCCGCACAGGTTCGAATCCTGTCGACTGCGCAAACATTTCTTTTCTTTTTTGTTTTGTTTTTCTTCCTTACACGAGCACGAGCACCAGCAAGATCGATGTGAGCACGGACGCCGGACAGACAAGGCTAAACCCTAAGAAGCTTCACCCCTAAAAGGAAACAAACAATCTGACGACGATGGTCACCAGGTCTTCAAAAAGTGCCTCCCCCAAAGCACAAGATATATGTAGGTGTGGAGCAGCTGCCAGATAATCCCCAACTCGCCTTGATTGCCACCGGCTCTTCAATGATTGGTTCCTCAATGATTGGTTAGTGGTTGCATGTCGCAGGTCTAGTTTTCTACGCATGCTTTTAAGGTAATTTTCCAGGTGTGCAGAGCCATGTACAACTTGCTACTTGCACTACGGGTCTTGCAGAGGCCTATCTTCGTCATTAAGCCTACTTTCGTGCCTCAACTTTGGCAAGTACAGTTTTACGAATACATTGAAATTAAGAGATCTCTGGCACGGTGTTGACACCAGCGTTCATCGACGTAAGAGCAGGTGCACCGGAGGGAGAGTGCACGCAGAGAGATGCCATTGCAACAAACTTAATTTTTTGGTAATGTTTTTCTTTTTTTTTTTTTTTTCTTTCTTAGCTGTACCATCTGGACGGCAGAGACGCCGTCGGAATAGGATACCGAGGCACACAGCCATTGGAAGTTTATCCGGTCGATCGCGTCGCAGCGTTCGTCGTGCTGTGTGTCTACACCTACATATATCTTGCATCATAGCCCGGGCCGTGCCCAAAGCGGCGGAGAACAAGGCAGCGACCCCCACCTCCTTGGCCTGCGCAGCCTTGACCTTGGCAGCAACCTTCTTCTCCTGCACCTGGCGTGAAAAGAGGTTGGTGAACTCGTCCCAGTCAGCCGGCTGGGCCTCCTCCAGGCAATCCCACAGGGTACGGGGCCTGCGCCAGGCGGGACCCCCGCGTCAACAGCCTCTCCGGCCGGCGCATGCCCGCAGCCCCGAGGTACGGTGCCGGAAACATCTCCGATAGGAGCGCTTAGCCTCCTTCCGCCTCCAAGGCGATCCCAAATGCCAACAAATGACTCGGCAAAAGCCAGTCCCAATGGTAGGTGCTAGGAGTCCCGGCAAAAAGTAAGAGCGGCGAACAGCAGAACGAGCGTCTGCCACATCAGCAGCCGCTGCTCCGACATTGGCGGGGTTGCGACGTCGCCGAGGCAGCGCTTTTTGGGACGTGGTGAACGCGCCCGTTTGAGATGTGTTGCGGGCACCGTACCAACAGTACTGCGCGAGATACAGCTTAATCTTCCGCATTAATAGCTTTAAAAGCTGCCACGCGCGTAGCTCAGACTCTGGCGTCTTGACCTCGTGTTCCGCTTCACCATAACACCGACGTCGTTTAAGGTACAAAAATTTCCCAATAACTATAACAATGCGGGAGTCTGGTCAAAGTCCTACGTGTCCAAATGACAGAACCCAGGGTAATTCGCGCAAAAATGTGCGACGGTTATTGTATGCGAGGCCGGGCGTGGGTGGGTTAACCCAGTTTAATGAGCGGTGATGCCACTCCCCTTACAAATATCATGAATGAGTTTCATTTGAGTTTCTAATGTATTCTATAAGAATAGACTAGAAACTCAATTGCAACTCACTGGCAATTTTTGTAAGGGTCACCAAACAAGTATGAGTGCATTCAATCCCAGCAGCCTTCCCCCCCCCCCCAGTGTGCTGCAAAGTCTGCCCAATAGAAGCTCTCCACTTTCCCCTTTCCTTTCCCCTCCCCTCCCCTCGCCTCCCCCAGCACTGGCTTTCTGTTACCGGCAACATTCCCGTCGACACATGCTGGAGGCAGCGCTTTCTAGTAGTGGCAGCAATAGACCAGTTTTTTAGACAACTGGTTTTCCACTTATTCAAATTAGCAAATTATTTGAATTTGAAAATCGGATGTCAGATAGTATTAGAAATCACAAGTTATGTTACTTGCTTATATATATATGTTTGAATATTCATATACACTATCCTGTACCAGAATCAAGATAGTTTAACTAAAATAAATGATAAAAATTATAAAGCGGAAACACCAAGAACAAGGCTTACAACAATACGGGACTAGCGCTTATACTGTCAACTGACATTTATATATAAAGGGTGTCACAAAAAAAAAATTTAGAGGGTTTTTTTCACCGCAAAAATAAACTAGGCAACGCTGAACGCTCATTCTCCCCCCAAAGGTAGCGCTACAGGTAACAACCAGATGCCAAAGTTTCATCCCGATCTGATACCTTATTTAAAAGTTATAAGTGAATTTCTGAAAATTTCAATGGGAAAATGGAGCCCATTTTTGCCCGTTTTCGGTTTCTGGTGCTGTAGAGCCCCATGTGTTGGAAAAATCCGTGGGCCGCCATTTTCCCATTGAAATTTTGAGAAAATCACTTAAAACTTCTGATTAGGGTATCAGATCGGGCTGAAACTTTGGCATCTGGTTGTGACCTCTAGTGCTACCTTTGGGGGGAGAATGAGCGTTCAGCGTAGCCTAGTTTATTTTTGCAGTTAAAAAAACCCTGTAAATGTTTTTGGGGGACACCCTGTATTAGTAGTGAAAAACAAAAGAAGTGAGGGATGTGCTAATAAAAAGGACAGGAAGAGGTAATAATAATTTAAAAAGAAATCTTGAAAGAGGAAGCTTTTTGAAAATTGCTTCGATTAAATAGAACATGAATGTTCCGTGGAACTCTTAAATATTTTTCCGAGAAAATGATGGGAAATGCACCAAAAAAACTAGGACAGAGAAGAGAGGCACACAGCACAGGGTGCAATTTTCAACTGAATTTAAATAAAACACAAAAAAACATTAAAAATTTTCATGAAGAAGTTTTCAAGAGAAGTTCTTCATGAAAAAAAAGTTGAGGTACAGTATTTATTTGAATATAAGTCAACCTTTTCTTTAAAAAATGTTGTAAAATATTAAGCATCGACCTACAATCGTGACACGAGAATTCCGACATACATTTGTGACCAAATTTTGCGACTCCACCGGGTGCGTGGAGCTAACGAGTCACCGAATCGTTTCAGAAAGCTTTCGGTGCGCGAAAACGCCACCACTTGCGCACATCCCTCATGCGTCCGGTTCCGCACACTTCCGCAGCTGCCAACGCTCACGCAGGTCTCTCACGACGCAAGGGGGGGAAGAAGAACAGAACGCACCCAGCACCTTGCCCCCTTTCCTCCATCCCTCTCCCCCTCATGGCCCGCAGCAAAAGTAAATAGAGGTTTCACCAGTTTGCTTCTTGTTGCTCATGGCAGCTAGCGGCGGCTTGCAGTGGTGCTCAAACAAAGTCAAATTTGGGCGTTTTATGTGCCAAACATACGACGGGCATCTGACATGCCTTATTGGAGGACTGAGGATTCATTTCGACCACCTGGGGATCTTTTGATGTGCAACAGAAAGCTCGGTTACACGGCGCCTTCTCCGCAATAAGCCTCCGTCATATTGCGGGCACCTCGGTCGGGATTTGAACCCGCCACCTGGGGATCTGTTGCAGTGGTGCTCGCTTGGTTATTAGGTCTTACGTCGCTTTGCCCGCCTCCACCTTTTTTCGTTTCTTGTTGTCACCATTTTGCAACGGTGTCGGCGACGTATTGTTGCGACTTTGTGAGGATGTCCGTGAAGCTGACGAAGCTTCCGACGACTACGACATGTCCGAAAGTTTCGACCATGATTAAGTTTTTGGCATCGCACTGCAACTTAGCTAAGAGCACCGTAAATAAAGGTTTGTTTCATTCTTTTAGCAAACTCTCTGCCACTCTTTAAACAAAAAAAAGAAAGGTCGACCTATATTTTAATTCTTTCTTTTTAGTCTCGGCGAGCTTAATATAAAGGCCTCTACCTACGTTCGTGGTCGACTTATGTTCGAGCGAGTACGGTAGTTTGTCTCTTTATCAAACAACCCTATAGAGAGTGCACTAATGTTCTACGTCTTCTCTTTCTCCTTTGCGCTTCGCAATTTTTATTACGTGTAGCCAACTAGCCGAACAATTAATTTTATTACAAAATGAACATTGGTGCCTGCAGCCATTCACTCGGGGTTTTATCTTGGTTGCCTGTATGTTTAGAAAATTAAGGGGGATCTTCGGAGGTCATTCGTCCATCTAACCATCGCGCCCACGTCGAGAACCGCACCCATGGAGACTTATCTGTTTGCGTGTCGAACACGGTGCTAGGCTCAGGTAGCCGAATGCCTTGCCGCTCGGGCTACCGTTAAATCGGTGATGCACCGACTGAACGAGTCAGAAATTGGTGAATTTGTTACTTTCTAATAATCGAAAGAAAATGATGCACTCTTTGCAATTCTAGAACTATAAAATAAAAATAAGCCTTATTATCGTTATTATATGGGACATAAAACCAAATAACCAGTTATCCAAACCGATTATATGCATTAAAAAAAATCCGGATAACCGATCTTTGAAGCCGGATTCACTTCCCTCCGGTTTAACCGAATAATCCGGTTCGACAGGTATTGGCGTGACCTACTTTCGAGCGAATCCTCAGTTTCCGTAGACTGTAGGGGCACTAACCACACATCCACTACGGCCCACAACAACCGAGGATATTAGTGGTAGGGTGCGCGGAGCAGATTTCCAGCCAGCACGTTTACGGAGTCCTCGAAAGTGGTTTCTCGATCTACGCCCATCCTAAAAGTGTCGCAGCGGCGGAAGCGGGCAGGGCAGACACTCTCCCCAATCGTTCCGCAGCCAGACTGGGAAGCCGAAACGGACGTGCGATGGCGACCCTCGCCCGGCCGCGGGACGGTGACGTCTCACGGCTACTGCGACGCGTTGCCACTTGGAGACCGCTTTGGAGGGGACGGCGAAGAAGCGGGGAACTCACTCTCCGTCGTCGGAGGCCGGCCGCTCGGGAACAGGAGCCGGGGACACCACCTGGATCCGAGTCCAGTAGAGCGGCTTCATTGGAGACTTGGGGTTCACCGGCTGCTTGCGTGCTGCGTGCATTCCCAACGTCCACACTTTCTTCTGCCCCAACCATTCTCAAACGCAGCAAAGGCACGAGCGACGGACCGCTATGCATGCACCCACCCCTGCCAATTATAACTCCTTAACAGTTTTTGTTTCTTGGGGAATTTCTGACCCTCAACCGCCTAATTGTTGTCTTCAAAACCAATTTCGTTACCTCCAAAATCAAATTTCTGTCGACAAATGGAACGGGAGCATTCTGCCATCTGTTGGCAGAACTGCAAACAAAGTCACGAGCAAGCCTGGGTCTTCTAAAACGGTTGGGTCTTCTAAAAAGGTTGAGTGCTTGAACTGGAGAGAGCAGACAAGATATACTTGTGCCGCTTTGGGAAGGGTTTCGTGTTGACGAGGTGGGCTCATCCAAAACGGCCGATCGGTTAATGCTGTAAACGCATAACTGCCACCCAGCTCCGGAAGCGCTAGAGGCCGAGGCGAGGCTTGGTGCGAGGCTCTGCACATGCAGCGGGAGAGAAGCTTCCCTCTCTCCTCAATTCACTTGAAACGACTTCATCGGGATCAAGCAAGCATACACGCAAGAAACACCAGGTCAGCTTCAATTTAATCACACTGCCAAGTACAATGCAATCCACTTATAACAATACCACATATTGCACGACCGAGAAGGAAAGCTTCTCCGTTCATCTACAAGGTTATTCTTACCCTGAGTGTAAAAGATAAGGAGGCCGGAATGACCTTGCCTAGTCAGTCTGGCCCTAGCTCACTCCCCAACTTTCTAAGTCCAATATCCAAGAGGCCAAGTGTACTAGAAAAGGAGCTGAGCGCGATTTTGCCAACTCGTTTGCTCTCACGCTAGCCAGCTGTCTTGCCAACACACCGACACTCAGTGCTGCTTTCTAGACGTTTGTCTTTTCTGTTGTTTTTGGTGCAAGTTCGCCTTTAAACCTTTATTTCCGGTTCATTATTCGTCGTCTCGTCTTCATCCGCGACGTTTCTAACGATGTACAGCTTCTAACAATCAGCTTCTAGACTTTATAGACTATAAACAATCAATTTCTAGTCCAGATACAACGATAATCGGTTATAACAATTGAATTTTCAGGTTTTCATTATCCTTATAAGTGGATTGCACTGTATATAAAACAGACCGTAGGCACATCTGCGAAATATAAATACGACAGTCGAACCCGGATATATCAAATTCAGAGGGGATCACAAAATAGTCTGATACATCAATGTAAAAAAATGTGTTCAACTCAAATTGAAATCTTCGCTTGTCCCTCATTAAAACATAGTTCGGGAAAACCACGAGCGCCGCCGCTCGCACCTCGCCGCGCTTACGTGCGCGTGTGGCCGCTACCTCATTGGCATGGGACAGAGAACGCGAAAATAATAAATTATAAAAATGGATGTTTGAAGAAACAAATGATAAAAAAGCACTTCTCTTTATTCATAGATGAAAGCCAAAAGAGCGACGAAAACTGGTGCAAAACAAAAAAACAATTATGAGAAGCAAAAAAAAAAAGAAACAGCAAAACGAAAAGATAAACAAGGCGCTGGAAGCATGATTGCATTCTCTTTATTTGGGAGAAGTGCCGTTTTCCCCTCTTTCGCTGCCCGCAGCCGGAGCTAGACTGACTGGCCTTGCACAGCCTCCAACTGCGCAAACCAATCGCAAGAGCAGCGACGGCTGCATTCGGGGAAAGCCTACCTACCAGGAGCGCGATTCTAGAGGGTGATTCAAGGAGACGCCAGGCTCTTTAAATCGACCGCAAAATTCAGTTTCTTACCTATCGCGCTACGACTTTGTGCAGCGTTGCCCACAGATGGTGCATTTTTTTTTTTTGTAAAATTTGCAAAGAGCGAACTTACCCGAGGAAGAAGTAAAGAAAGAAAAAAGCTTAGCTCCTATGGAAACGCAGCGACGCCACGGGTCTTCAAAAAACACGGCGCCGTTTCGCACGGGAGACAAGAGATGGTGCAAGCGGTCGCGATGCCAACTGCCGCCAACAAACGAGCAGACGACGCCGAGAGCCGGCGTCTTTAGCAGACAAGGAACTGCAGTTCCTTGTTATTACCGAGCCTGTTTTTGTTTCTGCGACTGTCACCGCCTGCGGAACGCGCGCCGCTCTTGAGTTGAGAAGATTGTCTGCTAAATACGTCGGCTCTCGGCGTCGTATGCTCGTTCGTTGGCGGCGTTTGTTGCACCATCTCTTGTCTCCCGTGCGAAACGACGCCGTGTTGTTTGCAGACCAGTGGTGTCGCTGCGTTTCCATAGGAGCTAAGCCTTTTTCTTTCTTCACTTTTTCCTCAGGCAAGTTTGCTCTTTGCATATTTCTTAAAAAGAATGCACCATCTGTGGGCAACGCTGCACAAAGTCGTAGCACGATAGGTTAAGAAACTGAATTTTGCGGTCGATTTAAAGAGCCTGGCGTCTCCTTGAATCACCCTGTGTGTATCCTATGTAACGGGCGGGAGAGTTCAATACAGATGCACGAGGCTCCTATACTTTTACCTGGGATTCTTGAGGGGATGTCTTTACTGCTCAACACTGACGACAATTCGAAATACCCGGGTTCAATACAATTGGGCTCCGACTTTATAAGTGCCAACCAATGAAAGCGTGATGCATGTACCGTATTTACTCGAGTAATAACCGCACTGTTTATAAAGAAAACCTGAGGGTTCGCTTTTCCGCGGAGCACACGGATTGCCAATCACAATGATCGACAGCATGATTCCACCAGTTTACAGGACAGAGATAACGTCTTCGCGCAAAGATAGCATCTGCGAAGGTTGCATTTGTAAGGACACTCGTGTTCATCTGATTATTCGCTATCTTATTTACACGCAACGTGATGATTGGTTGTATATGAGCTTTGCGGGAAAGTAGGCAAAAGGGCCTTGTTCATAAATAGTGCGGTTATTACTCGATTAAATACGGTAACACGTATGCACTATGTCCCAGACTGCAATATTTTCCCCCCAATTCAAAAAGTTTCCCCCGACCTACCCGGGCCAAAAAAATTCCAACTAGTACCCCAACTATGCTTTTCTGGCAGACACCCCTAGCCAACACACCCTTTTCAAAACTCCATCAAGCAACGTTGGTGCCCTCTCAGGCTCGCAGCGTCCGACTGGATCCGAGTTGGTGCCGACACAAGCAGAGTTGACACCCAACGCCGAGGCAGCCCTTGCGTTCGACACACGCTCAGAGTGTGTGCCCAAACAATGGCAGACTGATGACTAAAAGACGTGCACCTTTGAAAACGGTCTAGTAGTCTTCGTTAACCGGTTAATTGGCCTCCTTCCAAGCGGGGCCTGTCCTTACCGCTCAGGTATGCGTTGTACCAGCCTCCCGCCGGTGGAGTGGGCATCGGAACGGGGCCTTGTCCTGGAGGAGGTGGCGGTGGGGGCGGAGCCTGGAGCGACCCAGTGGGAGGGGCCACGGGCGGAGGGGGTGGGGCTGGGGGGGCCACACACGGGACACCTGTTGGAGGTGGAGGTGGAGGCGGTGGAGGAGGAGGGACGCTGCCCACGGAAGGGCACGGCGGGGGTGGGGGAGGAGGAAAAGGAGGAGGAGGAGGAGGAGGAGGGGGGTGGTGGAGGGGGAGGGGGTGGTGGAGGGGGAGGGGCATGCACCGGAACAATGTCATCCTTGTTCTTCGTTGTTGCCGTTGTGGAAACCTGAGGAAAACCAGACATTCTGCATACAGTTCAAATTCAATTTTATTAAACACTATTTTAACGATCTTCAGATTTAATTGCAAACAAATTTAATTACCCCAGAAGTTCCCATAGTGCTCAATGCTTTTATGAAAATGAAATAGCAAAATAAATTTAATTGTCAGTCCCAATTTAATCAAGCATTCCCAGAAAACGACATGTGCAAAAAGGGGTAATTTCGAATGTATTTTCTTTAAAATACCACAAAATTTGTTGCTTCTGTGCAAGCAACAAGGTTGCTGTCCGTGACGCAGTGCCACTCCGCCGAGCTATGTTTGTCCTCCTCCTAGTACTATGTCGTGCCACTCCATCAAGTTGATGAAAAGGGAACAACCCGATGGCGGTACTTCTGACAAGGCATACCTGTGTCAACATATGCAGAATTGTCATATTAACGTGAAACTTTCTTTGGCTAGGTGTTCGGCATTTTGTGAAGCCCAAAACTGAAGCCTAGATAAAAGCGTGTCCGCGAGGCTCGGCACTGATTGCTAGAAGACGAGTGAGGTTCTCGATGCCGATTGGTTAATGGGGAGGTCATGGTGGCTTACCTGCTTCGAGAGGTTGCAACCCCCGCGAGGAAATTATTGATCCCTTTTTGAAAATGAGGCAAGGTGAAAATAAAATCTTATTGGTGCCATTACTGGACCCCATTTTGATTTCATTTTTATTTATAAGAGGTTTTTCTTTTTTTTCTAGACCGGTAGATTAACTTTTTTTAGGGTGCTCCGCATATTTTTGTTCCACGGGGCTGAAGTGGCAATTGCTGGTCTTCAGGTCGTTGACCCCTTCGTGCATGCAAATAAACCAATCCTTGTCTCTGTTTTTTCGAGTTAGGCGGATTATCTATGGCTAGCAGATTATACAATTCTTTTGCACAGTTCCCGAAAGACGTATAAATGGAGTTCCACTGGAAGACCCAGAGCGCCCTAATGCAAGTTCCCCTGCTGTGACATGCACATCACGGCGACGACAGCTCGACGCTCCTGTAATTCACCATCATTGTGGTGTCGTCGTTTCTGCACTGCCTCTTGAGCATGATTCTCAAGACTTTCTTTTGCTTTCAAACTTTAGAACTTTCCGAGGCACAGCGTGCAAATTCATCCGCGTGCCGTATGTGTGCAACAGATTTTTACTACAGCCAACACCCTCGTAGTCAAGGTGGGAAGCAACGTTCAATGGCAGAGCATCCCCATCCCTGCAGGCGCTTGTAGCCTTTCGCCCGCTCCGGAGGCTCATGAAACGCCCTGGTGTTTCCGAGGTAGTAACCTCTCATTTACTCAAATTTGTTCCCTCGATAGCGCGGTTAGTACAGCAATCGACTGTACAGAAACAAATTGCCACCATCCCTATACTGCTGGAAATTCGAATCCGGCTCGACGAACAGAAACTTTTGAGTCGTAAACTCTGTGGCGGCAACGGTGGCTATCGACGACGTAGCCGACGACATTGCCGGGAGTTCCTGCGGAGAGAGACCGTGCAATCCCCCGGGGAGGCTCCCACCGAGAGCCGTCGCCGTAAAAGTTACGGCCCCTCATAAAGAGCCCGCGTCACTGACCGGACGGCATCTCTTTTGGATGCCTCCAGCAGGAGCTCTTTGCCCCCCACCCCACTATGGCCACACGCACGAGGCTCCCAAGATGCCCGAGCATTACCGCAAGCTCGTCAAAAGGAGGACAAAGTTCTTTCGGGACCTCCAGGTAAAAGGCACACATTGTTCAGTCGTTCGTATCACTGCATCAAATATTCGTCCACGAACACATGATTGTAATATTCACAGACGTCGCCCTGCCTCACTGTCCACGGATGGGTTATTTACAATCTTTCCATTTTCCTTCTCATTTTCTTTTTTGTAAACACGAAATTGCTTTTGCTTGTCAACAAAACGAGGCTTAATTACGTTATCTCAATCGTTTTTTTGTTCTTTTCCCACTAACGTCCTCGGACTTCGGGATCATGTGTAACGAGAAAAATGCGTAAACAAAGTTTCCTCGACTCCTTAGTTTTTTGTTTTTTTTCTTCGTCTCCCCATAACCTTACGGTCCACGGTTGCGACACTTGGGGACGACGGGCATTCGCGGATTGCGGGATCCGCAGTTGGGGTACCCTTAGTGGTGGGCGACCCCCCCGGAATATTACGGTAAATAAATCATTCAATAAGTTAATGCACGAGCGATGAAAAATGAATGATCAAACACTTATAAAAGAACCAATCATTCCGGAAATAAATGAGCCGATAAAATGACCGATCGTCGACGAGAAAAATGAGGTGCCACCCACCGGTCGAAGGACGTCCTCGGTCTGAGAAACTGTGTCGATCCGCTCGACCGGCGCCGCTGTCTGCGACTCCTTGGCTACGCGTTGGGCCTCCTCAGTCTGAACGCCGGCCACGGAGAGACACCACTGCACCTGCAGGAGCAGAGGGCCAAGAGACACGCACGCGCTCATTGGTGGAGCAGCGCAGAAGCTGCAGAAATACTCATTGGCATCTACAACAGTACCAGACATACCACAAAGACCAAGGCCCCACAACGTTAAAAGAAATGCATGAAGAAAGAATAAAGCAATTAAAACAGGGACAACACAACCACAGCCTTCAACTAGCAACAGACCAGTAAACTTTCAACAGCGAGCATCCGACTATACCCAGGAGGAGAAGGGGAAGAAGGGAAGATAAGAAAATGCGAAAACGGCTGCTCGCTGTTGAAAGTTTACTCGTCTGTTGCTAGTTGAAAGATGTGGTTGTGTTGTCTCTGTTTTAATTGTTTTAATCTTTCTTCATCCATGGCTTAAACCAACACGCTCTTCTACCAAGCATAGTTAAAAGGAAGACTGCTTCGGAGTGATATTGTTTCGATGCGATTGTAGGTCGACCCATCTTTCAATTTTCCGAAGTCTGAATTTAGTGGGTCAACTTCTAATCGAAACTGAAGCACCTCACCTCCGAGAACACCCCAATTTGCTACGGGGTTCAGCCGACCGACTGCAGCATTGTGCCATTTTGGGCGCTCGTTTTACCAGTTGTTCTTGTTCTGTACAAATGGGTATCGAGATTCGCATATCGGCATGAAACGTGAAGAATGCAGCGAACAACGCGCAGTATGGCGGCCGTTCAGCCAAGCGTGGCCCCAAGTTCCGGGGGATATGGCAGTGGCAATCCGTTCGACTAAAGACGTCTAATGAACAGATTGTTTCGTCAACAGTTAATTTCCTCCAAAAGGCTTCACACGTTCGCTTCATTGACGGTGTGTTGACGAAACAAATGCTACGTTTTGCCAAAAAAGTCTTTCGTCCACATCGCCCCAGCCGGCGGCATCCAGACAATAATCTAGATTAAGGCTAGAAGCTCGGGCTTGAGGCCTATATTACATTTTGCCCAACATGGCGCAGCCTCCCTGGAAGCCTAGGATTAGGCTCGCCATTTCGTTTTTGCTTTGTCGAAACCGAATGGGTAAGTTCTGGCGTGCCTCCAGCGAACGAATTGATTGGAGTCGCTTGGTTTACGTTTTGTGTTTGCAACACGAGCTGCCAAGAGGTGGCTAAAGCGTCCGAGATGCCTTCGCCTTTCTGCCCGCTTTGCTCCTCGCCATGCGACGACGCGGAGCATGCGCACTTGCAATCAAACTATCCGTTTGGCCAGCTATCGGTCGGCCAAACGGAAATTATAACCGAAATAAGAGCCATACAAGACAAACAAAAAAACACAGATTCAATTTTGGCATCCCTTGAGACCAAAATTAACACTATCGATCGCGAAATTGCAAGCCTGAGGACAATAAAAGAAGATGTTGCTGCAGTCTCCAAAATTACAGCCACAAATTCTTCTATGATCGAAGAAATCGCCCGAAAATGTACCGCACTTGAGAATCAATCCCGACGAAACAACCTGCTTTTATTTAACATGCCCGATATTCGGGATGAGACGTGGAAACAGTCCGAAGAAAAAGTGATAAGCTTTTGTGAAGATAGGCTTGGTGTAAAGATCCGCCCCCCTTCGATCGAACGGGCGCACCGAATCGGCCTTTTCAAAGAACTTAGTCCATCGCCCAGGCCCATTATCATAAAATTTAATTCGTTTAAAGATGAGGAACTATTGCTGTCACAAGCATTCAAACTGAAAGGCACCAACTTTCGGTTGAGTGAGGACGTTTGCGAAGAAACTCGGAAGGCACGGAGGGAACTTTTATCGTTTGCGAAAGCACAAGGCCGCGAGTTTAAATTACGTCACGACAAACTGAATATTGGAACCTCACGGTATGTCTTCGACTCAGAGGCTGGATGTGTAAAGCAGGTTCCTGTGTAGCTCAAGCAAGACAAGTCATCCTCCCCGCAAAAGCAATCTTCGCCCGTGACTACTTTGAATTATTTCATAGCGAATGCAAGAAGCATTCTTTCAAAGCAGGAAGAGCTGTTATCTGCTGTCCACTCATGCTCTGCAGACATCGTTGTAATCAGAGAAACCTGGCTAACCCCAGAAATTCCAGATACCGAAATAATCTTAAGCAGCTCATATTTTATTGCCCGGAATGATAGGATAGAACGTCGCGGAGGGGGAGTGTTGATCGGTGTCATAAATGGTCTACGTGTCCTGGATTATGATATAATATCAAGTTTTGAAGGCGTTTGGGTCAGGATTAAAATGCCTACTGTTCACATGCTCGTCATTGCGTGTTATAAGCCCCCTGACCTGTCTGATTTTTCGCTTTTACTTCATGAGTGTTTAGAAAACCTTGCACATTCTTATCCAAATGATATCTATGTGATTACGGGAGACTTTAACTATCCTCAGATAGCATGGCCTGTTTTTCCGAATCTCATACCCTTTGACACGTGGTATAACCTTTCCAAACAAAGCCGCGACTTCGTCGACGTGATAAGCGCATTTTCCCTTTCTCAAATGGTAGACCAGCCAACCCGGAACTCAGCTTGCTTGGATCTTTTCTTTACTTCTAAACCTGATTCTGTAGTTTCAATTAATATTATGGAACCGCTTAGTGATCACGTATCTGTAAACGTTGAAGTAGGTATCCCAATCCAAAAACACAGTCCACTGGTCAAATGTATCTACAATTACTCTAGGGCGAATGTACAGGACATGAGTCAAAGCCTAGAAGGATTTTCAAGGGCATACAGGGTAGACTTCGACTCTAGAACAGTGGAAGAAAATTGGAAATTATTTAAAGATAAGATGCTAGAGTTATGCAATCAATTCATTCCAAAAGTAAATATTCGGTCATCTGCTGAAAAACCATGGTTTTCACACCATATTAAAAAACTCCTCAACAAAAAGCAAAGATATTTTCGACAGGCTAAAATATTGCGTTCTTTGATTGCATTTGCAAAGTACGACGAAATCCACCAAATGTGTGTAAATGAAATAAAGAAAGCGAAAAATAAGTTCTTTAATGAAGATTTACGCGGCCTTATAAAAACTAACCCGAAAACATTTTGGAATGCAGTTAACCCTAAGTACACTTCCAATCAATTCCACTTTACTGATTCTTCGGGAGACGAGCTGGATGCTGCTGACGTGTGTGAACGATTTGGCAATTTCTTCAGTGGAATGTTTTCTGATGAGACCTTTCCCTTACCAATACTCTCACCTGAAGATAGTATACTAACTCAAATGGCTCCAATTACCATGTGTGCGACTGGTATTCAGAAACTAATAGAAAATCTTCCAACCAATTCAGCTCCAGGCCCTGATAATATTTCAACAAAACTGCTTAAGCTCTGCAAATATAAAGCTTCCACTCTCCTATGTTTACTCTTCCAACAATCCTTACAAACTGGTATAATTCCTGCCATTTGGAAAGAGGCAAACGTCACCCCAATTTTTAAAAGCGGTCAAAGGAATGAGTTGACGAATTATAGACCAATCTCTCTGACAAGTGTACCTAGTAAACTGAGGGAGCATATAATTTTCTCAAATATTATTGATCACTTGTCGGTCAACAACTTGCTCTTTGTAAATCAGCACGGTTTCCGGCGGTATCATTCTTGTGAAACCCAGCTTTTTGAATTTGTCACAGACCTCCATCAAAACCTTCACTCTAAAACTGAAACCCATGCAATTTTTATCGACTTTCAAAAAGCATTTGACAAGGTACCACATCAACGACTTCTTAAATTACGCGCTTTGCAAATAGAACCATCTGTTATACAGTGGATATCGAACTTTCTCGTCGACCGCTCGCAAAGTGTATGCTATGAATGCGAATCTTCATGTCAAGGGAAAGTAATATCAGGAGTACAGTTAAACCTCGATGTAACGAAGCCGGTAAAATTCGCAATTTACTTCGTTACATTGAAATTTCGCTAAATCGAAATTTGGCATGCGAAAAAAAAAAAATTCCGAAACATTTTACGGGTATGAAAACTCACCGAAAATGACATTTATTTAGGGGCAAAGTAGTCCGCGAGTTTTGCTTGCGCCTTGTCCGACAGTAGCAGCGGCGTCATACGGCGTTCGAGCGCCCAGAGCGCTCGAACGCCGTGTACGGCATCTTGCTGCCCATGTGACGCCGTGTACCTCCTCAGTACGTCCATTGCGTCGAGCACTTCCCGAGTGCTCGTGATCTCGGCAGTTTCTTCAGGATGGCGTCCAAAACGTTTGCTTTCTCATCCAAAGAAAGAACTTTACGTTTCCTTATGGCAGCAAGCACGTGAGTGAACCGCCCGGTCAAAAAACAAAGCTGTTTAGTTTAGGCGGTGCCAATGTTTCCAACCTACACAGCACTCTTGACCGCACAGTTTACTTGCCCCCTTGCGCCCACAGTGTGCTAGCGCCTTTGCTTTACATCACGCTCGCAAGACGATAACAACGATAATCGGTCTTCTCGGTCTTCTCCTAGATGGCACTGCCCGTGCGGTCGCGCGGTATCGCGCGGTCGCGCCATCACGTCGCTTCCCCGCTGAGGTTGGCCCCCGCGCTACCCGCGGTACAGTGGACTATGATGATCAGTGAATGTCAGTAATGATGCTGTTATGCCGTGTTAACTTTTTGCTCGGCATTTTCTGGCCAGCCCCGCGGAATCCGCTCTGCCGCATGCCTCGCCGGCGCTACCGGCGCCGCATCCTCGGGCAGCCTAGGAGCGTTGGAAGGCCTGTCCCCGTGAAGTAACCTAACAAGCGCTCGCGTTTGCGCATAATTTTTTTTTTTTTTAACCACAATTTTTTTGCGAAGTTGTTTTTTAGAGTTGATTTATTTATTGCCTTCTATGGCAATGGCGCTTCGTTATATTGAAATAGCAGCAAAATCGACTTCGTTATATAGAGACTAAAAATACATGGGGTCTATGGGCAAGAAATTATGAAAAATAAAATACTTCGTTAAATCGAGGATTTCGTTACATTGAAGTTCGTTATATCGAGGTTCGACTGTACCACAGGGAACCGTGCTGGGCCCA